GGCAGGGACGCAGCCCTATGCCCTGGGTGTCCTTAAATCGCCAACTGCCAGAAGCTGGGACCAGACAACAGGGAATCACTTGATAATTGCTCTGTTCTCTTCATTCGCTCTGTAGCTCCGGCGCTGTCCAAAGACAGGACCCTGAGCTCGATGCACCACTGGTCTGACCCCATCTGGCCATTTTTATGTACACAACAGGACACCCCTGCCCGCAGAACTCTACACGTCACACAGGCAGAGTAGACACAGTACACACCAGGGCACATCCATACACAATACATACATCACAAGGTACACACCAGGACAGCTTCCCCCCATGCCCCATAATACAAGTTTACTTTGTGTAGCATCTTCCCAAGACACTTACCTGGGGCCAAGAAGACGGTGTGGAAAATCCAGTCGCAGCCAGGGGAGAGGGTGACTGGGAAGCCTGGGTGAAGACCAAGGTGTATTAGATAGAGGGCCTGGAAGCCCATGGCTGAGCTCAGGCCCCATCCTGCCAGGCACTGCCCACACACAGTGGGAGACAGTCCCTGCCCCCCAGAGCTCACCGTCTAAGGGCTGGTCTCCAGGGAGAATTTTACCGGCAAAGTTACGCTACTCGGGTTCTGCCTGGGGGACACATGTCCTGGAGTTACAGGGCCTTGTTCTGGCTTTCGATGCGACAGAAGCTGACCCACGGAGAAGGCTCTGTTAGCCCGGCAGTAGGACTATCTACGCGGGGGCTTACAGCTGTATAACGATGCTGGTGAAATTCCCTGGGTGGATGAGCCCTAGGCAGGCTGCTGGGGAAACTGAGGCACGGCACGGGGCAGTGAAGGAGCGGCCTGCGAGGGGGCTCGCAGGGCACAGGGGTGTAACTGAGCCCAAGCGGCGTGGGAAGGGGAGAACGGAGAGACGCCGCCCGCGGTGTGCCTGGCACGCCCTTGGACCAGCCTCCCTACCTTGGTGAAAGAGCCCCGCCCATGGGACCCCCTCCAGATATGCACAGCTGGGCCGCAGAGCTAGCTGGAGCGTCGAGTTCATGGCCACGGGGGCTCTTAGGTCCCCTTTGTCTCCGTTTCCTCTCCCTTTTCTCGCGTACTGCTCCCCCTTTCTTCTGCTTTGATGGACTCGGGGGCTCTGTCTGCTCTGGGGTTCCCCCGCCAACACGGCTGGAGCTCAGCACCGGAGGGCTCCCCGCCTTTGTGGGGGGGACCCCGGCACTATGGGGGTTTCCACGTCCGGGCGCCTGTCTCCCCGGGCTCTGTCCGGGGCAGTGGAAATGCAGGCCGCGGAGCCTGGGCTTTCCAGGGCCGTGCAGCGGGGCCGGCCGGGGCAGACGGTGCTGATCTTGGCAGGAAGTCAGGCTGGTCCATGCGCCGATGTATTTATAGCCCGACAGTAACCCCTTTGTGCTGTCCGGCAGACAGGAAAACGCGGCCCCCGGGGAGGGACGGCCACAGAAAGGAGGGTGTTGTGTGCTCCAGCTCCCATGCCAGCCTTGCCCGCCGCATTGCCGAGTCAGCACACCCCCCCCGCCCCGCCCCGTCTGCCTGCCCTAGAGTGACGGCCCCGGCCTCGGCAGCACCCTGGGGCACTGGGCCAGCTCCTGGGTGCCTGGCAGGGCCTCAGAGCAGGTACCGGATGGGAGCACCGGACACGCTTCCCCCAGCATGCTCTGCTGCCCTGGCTCAGCGGGGCAGATCTCTACCGGGGGATGGGAACTTGCCAGCCGCAGGCCAATTGGTGCTGCCTGCACGATGGCACCGATTCACCTTCGCATGGGCTACCACGCGGGTACGGGAGAGGAACGCTCGTCGCGTGGAGCAGGGACACCTGGTCTCGGCCCGCTGTGCTTACGGCAGGACGTGGCACGAATTCAGGCCGGTTTTGCAGAAATCTTCGTGTGGAAGATGCCCCCCCACCGCATCCTTCCAACCCCCACTCTAAACAGGTTGCTGTTTTGGTTTGGAACGACTTTTCCTTTCCCAGTCTCCGTGGATGTCATTATTTCCAACGTCGCCGACGTTCCAGAAGGGTCGCAGTCAAAGGGAAGCGGCTGGCTTTGGTTGGCCCAGGACGTTTCGGTTGCCGAGAAACCGGCCTTGGTTCCGCCTTTCACGTCACCAAAACTTCCAGTTTTGTTCAGACCCGAAACTAACTTTGGTTTTCAGTTTTTCAAACTTGCCGCTGCCGTGACCCAGCTGTTGGCGACGCGGCTGGAGCAGTGATGCCGCTCCCCGCAGGGCGGGCTGGCTGCGTTTGCCTGCTGCACGCCCTTCCTCAGCGGATGAAAGCCGGACAGGCATTAACGAGGTCCTGCGGTGGTGCCGTCTCCTACCTTCCCAAGACCCCATGGTGTAGCTCAGCCTTTAACTAGGGAATCCTCACAAGGTGCTCGGGACTTGTTAGCTCTGGGGAAATTGAGGCACGGCACAGCAGAGTGACTTGGTCGGGGAGCAGTGTCAGAGCCTGGGTTACGCTCCAGGAGTTATTGGCTCCCAGTGCTGCCTCTGAATCCCGTTGAACTCCCCCGTCTCAGCTGTACACGGTTCACTGGCTGCAAGCTGTCCCCTTCGGCGGGAGTCAGCCCAGCCCTGCCCCTGGCGTGGGGAAGACAGGCCCTGGGACTTATTCACAGCACCAAAAGTGGCTTTTGCGGCCGCCTGCAGCTCCTGGGTCGCCAGTTCCTGTGGCTAGCCCTCGTCTTACAAACAGGCCCTGCAAGATGCATGAAGGCCGTTCTGGGGCAGCTAAAAGGGAGTGTAGTCGAGTGGTTAGAGCACGGGGTGCCCAGGCCCCGGATTTGCAGTGAGATTGGCAAGCCAAAGCCGGGACCCGTCTGCTAGTAGCAAAGCGCGTTGAGGGCCCGGCACGGAAGGCACTCGGACGCAGCCACATTTGATCATGACGGTCTGTCCTGTGGGCTCAGTGTTCTCAGGGGCGCAGCCCCACTGTCCTCTCCAGGTGCAGGGGCTCAGGGCTTTCTCCAGCTGCTCCTGAGATGGGATTTCTGGCTGGGAGAAGGCTTAGCCCAGCCTGCACGGGACAGCTGGAGGAACAGATGCACTGGGCAGGACGGCACCAAGACCTGCCCTCGGCCCCTGGCCGGGACATGGGGATATTGGAGAAGCTCCTGTTAAAATACCTCCCAGCCGGGCACAGGCTGATCAGCAGTGGGGTGAGCACTAGTGCAGGGGAAAGGACGGGCAGCAGGGTTAATGCTGTCCTGTCCCCAGCCCCGGAGGCCAGCCGCTAGCCGTGAACGCTAGCCAGACAAATCAGCGTCAGCCAGCGCACTGTGGAGCTGGGGTCGGCCGGCAACACCGGACAGGCGTCAAAAGCCGCGGGGTGGCTGAATGAAGCCATAGAGCAGGTCATCCTCTCGCAGCCCACTCCTGAAACGACTGTGGCCCGTGGCTGGAGGAGCTCTGGCTTTAGCTCAAGGGGCAGAGGCCTGCGCCCAGGTTGCTGAAGGTCCCCAGTTCAATCCCTGCTCTGTGTACAATGTTAATTGCCGTGGGGCATTAGTGCTGACAGGCTGCTTGGCAGAGGGGAGGGATCTCAATGGAAAGAGGGGACAGGAGAAAGCACAATCCCCACCAAACCCCTCGCACAGGACAACTCCCCCTACCCCCACCTGGTCCCTTCTCCCCAGAGAGTCCCTCCTCAAATCCCCAGGTCCCCTCCCCCTGGAGATCTGCTCAGCGGCTCACACCAAGTTTGCGTTACGTACAGCAGGGCCCCAGGGCGCCGAGGTTGGGCTGGGGACGAAGGTGCTGGCAGTCGGGAGACGGGTGCTGCCCACCGGCCATGTGTACGGCAGGGCCAGTGTTGCTGCCTCACCCCCAGTGCTGCTGGATACCTGGGGGGGGAAGAGGGGTGCCCCCGTTCCCTTGCACGGATCTTGCCTGGGTGGGGCTGACGCTCACTCCAGCTAGCCCAGCCTCTCGTCTCCAGCATGGGAAGGGAGAAAACCACCCTGCCCCACTTGCTTCCCCCACGCCTGCCACCTCGTCTCCTCCTAGGCACGGGCAGGCCCCCCAAACCCTGCCCCTTCACCCTCCTTGTGGGGGCAGGTGTGCCCAGGTTCTAGAGACAGTTTCAGTCTCTGTCTGGGCAGCACCTGGTTTCAGTTGGAGTCTGGGTGGCACCAGGCACCATGGGGCCCTGATCTTGGGTGGGGTCTGGGCAGCGCCCGGCACCACGGGGTCCTGATCTCAGGAGGGATCTTTGCAGCGCCTGGCACTACGGGACCCTGATCTTGGGTGGGGTTTGGGCAGCACCCGGCATGATGGGACCCTGATCTCAGGTGGGGTCTGGGCAGCGCCTGGCACCACGGGGCCCTGATCTCGGGTGGGGTCTGGGCAGCGCCTGGCATGACGGGACCCTGATCTCGGGTGGGGTCTGGGCAGCGCCTGGCATGACAGGACCCTGATCTTGGGAGGGATCTGGGCAGCGCCTGGCATGACGGGGTCCTGCTCTAAGTCCAGGTTTCTAGGTGCTGCCATAACTGAAGAAAAAGAAGGGCTGCAGGGAGTGAGCGTGGGGAAGGATGAGAAGCCCTGACTGGGGTTCAGGCCAGGAGAAGGAGGGAGGTGAAGGTCCAGGAGGAGAAGGAGGGCAGGAGAGAGGATGGGAGTCAGAGGCTGCCGCTAGGATCTCTGGGTTGAAACAAAGACACACGTCGGCTGCCCCGAGCGGTTGTGCTGATGTAACGAGGGGAGCGATGTTAACCCGGCGGGTCTGTGTGTGGACGCTCTGCCGACAGTCCAGCCCTGGCACGGGTGGGTCGAGCTTGTTCCCTCGCACTGGAAGCCCTGGGGCCAGGACAAACCACTGGCCCAGTGCCTTGCACGGGATCTCACTGCTGCGACCCCAGCTGGGCACGGGGTGCCAGGCCTCGGTCAGGCCGATGCCCCCGGGGCTGGTGCTCACCAGACCTGGGCAGGTTGTACTAGGGCCCTTGGAGCCGAGCTCACGCTGATGGCTTCCCTCCTGTCCCCTTGTGCCCCCAGACATCTCAGGGAGTCCAGGTGAGGCGCTTCAAGACCCTGAACGAGCTGATCGCTCTCTACCTGCAGCCCAACCAGGGCCTGGTCTGCACCCTGCTCTTCGCTGTCGAGCGGGAGAAGGAGAAGGAGAATGCCGAGGACAGGGACTATTCAGGTATGTCCTGGGAGCTCGGCCCCCAGCCTCCCTGGCTGGGCTGGCCTGCCCCGGAAGCCAGGCCCAGGAGGTGATCTGGGGTGGTAGGAGGCGGGATACCAGGGAAGATGGGCCCATTGATGTCATCCAGGGACTCAGGAGGCAGGATACCAGGGTAGATGAGCCCATTGATGTGATCCAGGGTTTCGGGAGGCAGGATACCAGGGTAGATGGGCCCATTGCTGTGATCCAGGGTCTCGGGAGGCGGGATACCAGGGTAGATGGGCCTGTTGGTCCAATACAGGGGGCTGGGGCAGGGTGATATCGGGTGGTCCTGCTGCCTCCCTCACACTCACAGCCCATCTCACTCCTCCTCCCCTTCACACCATGCAGAGATTAGAGCCAGGGCTGCCTGCTACCGCCTCCAGCCACACCACGTAGGGCCTGTGGCTCTGGGCTCCTGGTGGGTCTGGACCCCAGCAGTTGACCAGCTCGGGACATGGTTGTCTCGCCGTCTGGAGCGGCTCATGGCCATGAGTGCCGACCGCGGGGCAGAGCCCCCGAACCGGCCGTGTGGTCTGTAATTCAATTTTGCCGAGCCAGCACCAAATGTGAACTCCTGGATCGCGGTCACAGCTAGAGCCCTGGGACGCTCCCGGCTGTCTGGCCCCCAGGCACGCTGGCCTCAGGGAGAGCTGGTTCCCGTACACCAACGATGACAAAATATTCAGGTTGCTCCCATCCCAAGAGACGAGTTGCGTCCCCTGAGGCAGTCGGTCCCTCCGATCTCTCACCAAACACAACGCTGGTGGCTAGTCCTATGGCCTTTCTCCGTGGGCAGGAGACAATCCCACCTGACTGGCTAGTTCCAGAGCAAACGTGGATAAAGCAAACCCTTAGCTATTCCCTTGCAGCAGGGGATACAGAAATGATCAGGGAGATTCATGCCGGCAGCAATTCACAAGCATTTCCTGAACCCTGGACACGTCGTTCCAGGGTCAATACCCCTCTGACCCGTACTCACATGCTAGGGAAACAGACGGGTGCCAAGCAATGAATGTGTCCGTGCTCAGCGGAGGCCCAAAGCCTTGGCAAGAGCTAGCCCCTGGTTTGCCAGGGTCACCGTGGATATCAAATCAAGACCCCCCGCCAGGAAGGTGATCGGGCTCCCAGCCCCTCCAGGGCGGGGTGAGCTGGGGATCCCAGTTATTGCAGGCGACGTATGAGGCCCCAACCCCAGCTCTGCCTGTGACCTGGCTTTGCTCCTTCCTTCCAGATGGGGAGGACGAAAAGCCCCCACTGCCGCCACGCTCCGGCTCCACCAGCTTCTCCCCCGCCTGCCTCGGGCCAGCCACGCAGGACGGGGCCATCGAGAGGTAAAGAGCCTCAGTCTACAGAATCACCAGGTGGGGCCCAGAGATCCCGCCACGGCAGGGGCTGCTGGTGCCCCTCACTCCTGACCTGCAGCCCCCCATCTCTGCCCATGCTCCTCACTCCTGATCCACAAACCCCCTTTCCGCCGCTCTGCTCCTTGATCTCCCCAGAGCAGGGAGCCCGTGAGGGCAATGATTTGGTGATTTTGTCCTCCACAAACTAGCCTGAGACCCATCCGGCCCACTCCCTGAGTCATGTCCTGAGCCAGGCTGGGTTTCCTGGGGTGGGCTCTCGGACAGTTGGACTAGTCCGACCCCCTGGCTGGGGAGGTGGCTCCGGGTGGAGCAGGCTGGAATGGTAAGAATCTGTCCCCTCTGACGCTCCCCAGATCCACCCCACTGCCTCTCCCCGTTGCACACCCGCTCCCGCTTTGCTGCACTCACACGCTTGGGCTGTCTTTTCCCCCGCGCACACGCTTGCTAATGCACATACACCTTTGCACACTTGGGCTTACACATGCACGACCACCCTCAATCACACCCGGGAGCCTTTGCCCCCCGTCCATTCCCACTCTCTCCCGGGCGCCCCCATCTCTGGAGTGATGCTCCCCTCCAGACGGGGGGTCCCATGGAAGTGCTCTCTCCCGGGACCTGCTGTCACCAGAACTCAGCCCTCCTGCTGTGCCCTCCCACGGGCATTCACTCAGCCCGGGATGCAGCCGGCGTGTCTGGTGCTTGGCCCCCGTTTGCTAACCTTCGTGCTCCCCCTGCAGTGCCACCAACGGCCTCAGCACAGTCTCCCACGAGTACCTGAAAGGCAGCTACACCCTGGACCTGGAGGCTGTCAAAGCCGGGGCCAGCAGCCTGCCCCATCTCAACAAGACCCTGGTCACTTCCTGCAAAAGGCTACACAGGTAAGAGCCTGGCCTGGAGCCTGGCGCCCCCCGGTGGCTCAGGCTGCATCTTAGCTGCTGATCCCCACCTCTCCCGGGCTGCCTCTGCCACGGGGTGCTGGGGGTGGGAGCTACCACTAGGAGGCAGGGCGCTATGGGTATCTCACTGCCCAGCAGGGGCTGGCCCCATGGCGCCTGTTCCCTGCTGCATCTGTGGGCCCCTGGATAGCATGGGACAGCCCCCTGTAAAACCCGCGCTGGCCCCTGGTGTGGCTGGCTGTGACTGGCCAGCTTTGCCCATAGGCTGGGGCAGGGGCGCCAGGGAGGTTCCCTGCCCCAGGGCTGGCTGGCTGGCTGATGTCCATCTGCACCTCTGCCTTGCAGCGAGGTGGACAAGGTCCTGTCCGGGCTGGAGATCCTCTCTAAGGTGTTTGACCAGCAGAGTTCGCCTGTGGTCTCCCGGATCCTCCAGCAGGTAAGGTCGAGAGTGGGGCGTAATGGCTGCAGGGTGCCGCAGGGGGCCAATCCCCCACCCCACCGGGACTTAGGATCCCTCCCCCAGCCTTATGGCTGCCCTGCGTCTTCTCGACGCCTGCTGCCCCTCCCCTTGGGCCTTGCTGTGGGGGACCCGCCAGGTGAGGGCCCACCCCTCCCCGATCTGCGGGCTGGACGTGGCCCAGGCTGGGTGTCTTTCTCCCCCGTAGCAGCTGAGATGACCCATGAGCTGGGGACCCACACGTGATAGCAGGCTGAGCTGGGTGGGGTGGGGCTGTGGGGCGCCACCCTGTGGCCATCAGAGCAGCTGCTGCAGCGGGAGACGGCATCCCCTCTCTGGCATGCCCTGAGGGTGGGGGGCACAGCCCGCCCGTCATCCCCCACACTCTGGGTCTAGACTCAGTCACCCTTCGCCCCTTACGATACCAGCTCGGGGACTGGCGTCCCCTGCAGGAGGGTGCCCTGTAGTCCTGGATACATTGGCTGGGCTTGACCATCTCCCCCCAGCATGCTCTGTTCCGGCAGCTGGAGACCTGCCCCCGGGGAGGACCTGGCTCGGAGGACGCTGCGTGTGTCCCCGGGGACTATCAGTGTGGGTGGACAACCCAGAGCGTCTTGCCCCTTCGCTGCCGGCCTGGCTGGCACCAGCTCGCTCTGCGGCTTCCTGTTCCCCACTAGCCTCCCGACAAGCCGAGATGCCCCAAACACGTTGGTTCCCAGAGCCTGAGGGAAAGGAGCTGGGCTGGGGGTCTGGGCACCTGAGTTCTGTCCTTGCTCTGCTGCTGATCAGCGACGTGGCTTGAGGCTCTGTGCCTCAGTTTCCCCCTCTCCAAAAAGGGGACCCGGACCCTGATCCCCCATTTGGGACCCGTTCACATGTAGGGGGATGCAGCGGCATTAAGTCGGGAGAACAAACTGAGCCCTCTTTGTGGGGACAGGGGAGCCCCTCCGGCCTACGCACCCCGATCCCACGCTCCCGCTGCGCGCGGTGGGTCTTGCTGGGGCCGCGAGGCCGCTGTGCCGTCTGAGCGTTCTCTGCTTTGATCCCTTTTGCGGCTGCAGACCGCCGGCCAGACGGGAGAGCAGGAGCTGGAGAGCCTGGTGCTGAAGCTGTCTGTCCTGAAGGACTTCCTGTCCAGCATCGAGAAGAAGGTGGGTGAACTGGCCCGGTCCCCGGACACCCGCAGCCCATGTCAGAACAGGGCTGGGGACGCAAAGCCGTCCGGTCCGCGTGGGGCTGTATCGGCACAGTGGGGCGGGCCTGGGCTCCGTGGGTGCGTGGTGGTGTCACCCTGCCCTGTGCTTCCCCCAGGCTGAGCTTAGCTTCCTCCTGCTGCTGCTGGATTCGGCTGTGGAGGGGCGAGGGACGGAGCCGTGCAGCTGGACGGAGCTGGGATCCAGTGGTCCGAGCACAGGGCTGGGACCAAGGGGCTCTCGGCTCTGCCACTGATTCCCTTGGGGGCCATGGGCAAGTCACATAGCCACCTACCTCCACAGCTGCCTGTCAGCTGTGTGGAGCACCTGCCACTCCCGTCGACTTCCCGGGGGACTGATGGTGCCGTGGGTCTGACCCCCACCTTCTCAGTCCTGCCCGGGCCCTCCCAGCCATTGTAGTGATTCGCAGCCCCCGCCAGAGCCAGCCAGCTTTTGCGTGGCAGCGGGGTCTCCCCCTGCTCATTGAATGCTCTGTCTGGGCCGCGTGTGACCAGGCCGTGTCGATTCTCTCTCCCCTCCAGGCTCTGAAAGCTCTCCAGGACATGAGCTCCACGGCACAGTCTGCCCTGGCCCAGCCCTCCTCCCGCAAAGCCAAGAGCATCCCCGTGCAAACGTTCGAGGTAAAGCCTTCACCCCGTGGCCCCCGCCCCGTGGCCTGGGCCGCCAAAGCTCCCACACCCCGGCCGTGGAACGGTACTCAGCAGGTGCCACTTTGCCCCCGAAACAGACTGAAGAGAGCGTGGGGTTAGGGTTAGCCGAGGGCTCCCGGCCAAATTACAGCTGGGGGCTGTGTTTCTTGGAGAGATCACAGCTAAGGTCTGGGGTTCGGGGGTCTGCTGTGAAATGGAGGCAGTGTTCGGGGACGAATTGGGGCCAACGTTTGGGATTCTGAGGTGAATCAGGGCCGGGTTTGGGATTGTTGTGGGGGAATCGGAGCCAGGGTTTGGGTTCAACTTTGACAGCACCAAAATCTCATAAGAAGGGTTTTGATGGTGTCTAAACCAGATGCTTCTCCCCTCCCAACCCAGAGCCAAAGCCGTGGGGTGGATTTGCATCTGGGGGTTTCAGTCTGAGCGCTCCCTCTCCCCACGACTAGCCAAAGGGGTTCAGATGCAGAGCCCTGGCCTCTGGCCCTCGAGAAGCAAAGCAGAGCCGGTGTTTTTTCCAGAGTCGATCCAAAGCACATGCCGGCTCCTGGGTGATCAGGAACGACACATTTACAGAGCTTCTCCTGGTCCGTAGGGCCGAGGAGCAAACCAAGCAGCTGTTCGACCAAGGAAAATGGTGATAAATCGTGTAGTCAGCTGCTCGACCCCACTTGGGTTCATTATGAAATATACTCAGGATACCAAATAACCAGCGTCAGTCAGGTTTATTGCTCTGACTCCAGAATAACATAGTGCAGGGAAAAGGTTTTCTACGACCCTCGTCTCACATTCACCACACGCAGGAGGTGAGCTCCCAAAGTCACCCCTTTAAAGCCTCTCTTTGTACCCTTCCCATTTACAAGGAAAAGCTACCAGGTGCGTCATTCGAAACCACTGGGCTTTCTGCCTTGGTTTTCAGGACCTTGGTGTGCACCCCTAACCTCTTTGTACTGCATCCCAGGTGCCAAGGGGCGTGAAGGCACCTCTGAGGTCTGTACTAGGGGAGAACAACCCCCGAGCTTGTTCCCTTCCTTCGGGACATTCCAGTGCAGGCCTGGGAGAATAACTCCCTAGCGGGTGCGATGGTAAAATCCTTTTACGTCCTGAGTCTGACAGCTTTCCTACTTGCTCAAGCCAAAATGAACTTCAGTGACTGCAAGGGCTTATGGGATACTTAGCATAAGTGAATGGGGTTGTGTACAACTCATAGGCCAATTCAGGCTATGTAATTGCCATAGTATTTGTACTTACTGCATTCTAACATATATATATGGTGTAGATAATACATATTATTAATCTGATAGGCATAGATATTAGCCAGCGTCTGTTAGTCAACACCCATTGGTTGAGATGTTTCAAATTGTATTGGCCCAGTCCTGACAAGGCCCTTGGTGACTGGAACTGAGGGTTGGCCAATCTTTGCCATATGAGTCTCTGAGCTGAACTCCAGCTGCGGAAGAGTCACCAGGGGGTCTAGTGGTTAGTGCACCTGGTTTGCTATCTTGCGCCTCCCAGGCAAGGGGGGTAGAGATGTCTGGCTCCTATCCCTAAGATGGAGGCATCACAGTCTTGGTCGGCATTGGGGCCTTGCTCTCCATTGGGGAGGGAAGGGGGACCTGGGCCCTCCCACTCCACAAGGTCCTGGCCCAGGGCCCTCTTAGGGAGCAACCCCGGTGGAAAACTCCAGGTAGAGGTTCCTCATGTGCCACCCTGGGCCACTTCCTACGTCTCCTCTCCTTCAGTGTGGGGCATGGCCCTGTGGTCCCAAAAGTCAGGAAGCTAGCAGAGTTCAGAATGGGCAGAGCTCCTCAGGGCTGTCGGCTCTCGAAGGGGGCTGCAGAAGGCGCTCTCTGGGGGCCTGGCCAGTGCTGGGGTCCTGTCTGAGGCTCCACCTTTCATCTGACTTCCAGGAGAAGGCCTTGTCTTCCCTACAGCCGGTTCGCCTTTGCCCCCCCCCCACCCCACACCCCTGGGCTTCTGAGCTCCCTTTAACCCGCTCCACCAGCCGGAACGCGCTTTGGCCTGTAACCCCTCCAGGCCCCGTGCAGGGTACGGACACCCCCTTACACCATCCAGAAGATGCTGCCCTTCGAATAGGGGGAGTGCTGTGTTTAGGAGAGCCGGGAGCTGCTGGATATACACAGGGCTGGGGAGTTAGAAAGTGGCAAACCCTGGAGCCGCTTCTCCCCAGCGTGGCTCCCCGCCTGTCATCTCGGGCAGTCTCTCTTGCCAGGGATAGCAGGTAGAAGACTAGTCACGGGGCCAAATTCCTCCCCGGCGTAGCTCCATTGACCTCAGTGGTGTTAGGGCTGGCCCGAGCAGTGCCAAGCGTGTCATCCACGTGCGGCCGTCTCTCTGCCCCAGGTGAAGCTGGACATCACCTTGGGGGACCTCACCAAGATCGGGAAGTCGCAGAAGTTCACGCTGAGCGTGGACGTGGAGGGCGGGAAGCTGGTGGTGCTCAAGAAGCAGAAGGACTCCCAGGAGGACTGGAACACGTTCACCCATGATAAGAGTAAGAGCCAAGAGCCCCCGCGGGGTGCTGCGCCCGGCCCGTATTCCCCGTGCACTCAGGGACCAACTGCAGCCCTCTGGGCGCTGCTGTTACCCCACACCTCATTGTTTCTGTGGGGTGTTCAGTGTGCTGGGGCTGCCCTGTAGCATGCGGAGATCTAAAATGATTAGATCTGGCCCCAAAACTGCGTCACTCAGGAACTGATTGCTCACCCGCGATGCCTCCTAGTTGCATGATACCATGTGTGCCAATCACACCACGCCCATCCCTACAGCCTTGGGATCCCCGTCGTCAGACCCTGGGGTCTTCCATCTCCTACTGCCTCTGCAGAGCTCGGGCTTTCTCCTCGGGTGGTGGGAGAGGAACGGGGCTGACCCTTCACAGGTCACGCCTGCTCTGATTTTCCGTGCCGCTTTCCAGTCCGACAGCTGATCAAGTCCCAGCGGGTGCAAAATAAGCTGGGGATCGTCTTCGAGAAGGAGAAGGATAAAACTCAGCGGAAAGATTTCGTCTTCGTCAGTGCCAGGGTGAGTCATGGGTCTATTATTACTGTGTCTGGTGAGGTCCTGCCCACGCAGCTCTGAGGCCGCAGGATGGAAGGCAGTGTGGCTAAATTAAAGCATTCGAGCCCGGTTCCATTCCGGAAAGAAAGGACATTTAAAAAAAAAAAGCCCTGTCTTGGGAGATCTTCCCAGGACAGCTGACTGCAGTGACAACCAGAGGTCTTCATTCCTGCAAAGCTAGCCCAGCCCTGGGAGGGGGATGGGGCTTCTCTTCCTCATGCATCATCGACAAGGCTGTTTGCAGAATGGCAATTGCAGAGACCCCAGGGGCCTGGCCACCCCGAGGGTCTCTGAGGGCATGATTAAAAGGGGTTGCATGGGTGTCTTCCAGGGCATGATTTCCTAGAAAATCTTAACTTCTAGTGATGATGCAGGAGAAGTAAAGGACCCAGCTTAATTCAAATTCCAAGATGGGTCTGTGGGCTGAACAGAGGCCCAGCAAGTGAATAGGAGTACGAAGCTGCTGCCTTTAAAACCAAGGCCACAACCACACATGACCGTTAATCATGCCCTGGCACCAGATTCCCCCCTGTAACTGGTTATGGAATTTTTCACTTCCTGTCCCCTAAACAGCTGCATAGTGTTGCTGTGCCCCGTTAAACAGCAACCACATTCCACCCCAGAGGTGGCTGCATTTCAGTGGTGGGTGAACTATTGTATAGTCCTTACCTGTCCGAGCTGGCTGACGAGTGGGTGGCCAGGACCAGGGATTGTACCTGGGTCTCCTGTCCACAGCCCATTTCTTCCTGCTGCCTAACCTGCCTCCTTTGCCTGCCTTTCCTCCAGAAGCGGGAGGCATTCTGCCAGCTGCTGCAGCTGATGAAAAACAAACATTCCAAGCAGGACGAGCCCGACATGATCTCCGTCTTCATTGGCACGTGGAACATGGGTCAGTGCCACGGGGCACCTGGGGCAAGGCTTTTCGGGACGGAGTAGGGAACATGGGCAAGGGTGATGTGGCGCACTCACACAATGCCCTGCGGGAGTCCCCCTCAGCCCAGGGAGCATGGCCCAAGGTCACAGAACGTATCCAGCCCCACTAAACACCTCCCACCTGGATGCCTTCAAGTCTGTGATCCCACCTCCGAGCCACATACCCTACCCACCTCTCCTCCAGCCCCCCTGCTGACAGGACATAAGGGATCACAGTCTGTCTTAAATAGGAAGCAGTTGTTTAAACAAAACAGCTGCCAGCTCAAGCACTAACAAACAGGCTTCCACCCACCTCGCATTCCACTTTTGTCTGCCTTGTTCACCAGGGCCCACACCTGTCTGGAACGCCATGCAATACACAGTGCCATCTAGTGGCTGAATAACTTGCAGCAAGTGACATATTATTAGTCTCTTATGCTCAGATACATTTGTTGGTCTCTAAGGTGCCACAAGGACTCCTGTTTTTTTTGCGGATACAGACTAACCCGGCTGCTACTCTGAAACCTGTCATTATTAATACAGTAACTCCTCGCTTAAGGTCGTCCTGGTTAAGGTTGTTACGTTGCAGATCAATTCGGGAACATGCTCGTTTAAAGTTGTGCAATGCTCCCTTCTAAGGTGGTTCGGCAGCCACCTGCTTTGTCCCCTGCTTGCAGGAAGAGCAGCCCGGTGGAGCGAGCTGGTGGGGGCTTGGCACTAGGGTGGGCTGGCAGCCCTCCATCCACTCCCCCTATCAGCTCCCCTAGTTTCCCTGTGCAGCAGCCTCCCAGCAGGTAGCAATTGCTGGCAGTTCAGCTGTCCCTCCCCCCACTGCCATGTGCTGCTCCTGCCCTCTGCCTTGGAGCTGCTCCCCGAGCCTCCTGCTTGCTGTGGGGGGGGGGAAGAGAGGGGCTAATGTCAGGGTGTCTCCCTCCACCCTGCTCCTGCACCCCGCTTACCCCACCTCCCATAGAGCAGGGGGGACACAGGACAGTCCTGGAGGCAGCAGCTGAGGTGGGTCTCAGCTTGCTGATCTAATTAACAAGACAGCATACTTAAGACAGGGATCAGCATACTTAAAGGGGAAATGCACATCTCTCTCTCTCTCTCTCACACACACACACACACACAGAGTGTGTGTGTCTGTCTCTGTCTGCTGTGCTGTCTCCCCTCCCTCCATTCCTTCTGCCTTGCAAAGTGTGAGGCTCCATTAACAACAATGAGTTAACCCTCGAGGGCTAGTTCATCATTTAGCAGCAAGGCATTCCCTGGGAAATATCCCACCCTCTGACTCCACCACCTCAACCAAGCTTCACCATCATCATTGCTGTGTACCAGTATTAAATTGTTTGTTTAAAACTTATACTCTCTCTGTGTGTGTATATATATAATATAATATAATATAATATAGTCTTTTGTCTGGTGAAAAAAAATTTCCCTAGAACCTAACCCCCCCCCTCCCCATTTACATTAATTCTTATGGGGAAATTGGATTCTCTTAACATCGTTTTGCTTAAAGTCGCATTTTTCAGGAATATAACTACAACGTTAAATGAGAAGTTCCTGTACAGAAACTCCTCGCTTAACGTTGTCGTTATGTTCCTGAAAAATGCTACTTTAAGTGAAACGATGTTAAGCGAATCCCATTTCCCCATAAGAATGAATGTAAATGGGGGGTTAGGTTCCAGGGAAATTTTTTTCGCCAGACAAAAGACATGATATACATATACAGTATAAGTTTTAAATAATTTTAAACAAACTGTTTAATACTGTATTCACCAATGATGATTGTGAAGCTTGGCTGAGGTGGGGGTGTAGTGGGGTCGGGCGTGGGGGCTTGCTCCATTCCGCCCGCCTGGCACTCCTGCCAGGGAGTGGGGTCGGGGGCTTGCCCGCTCCCCGGCTGGAATGCTGGGCGGGTGGAGTGGGATAAGCCCCCACGCCCCAACCCCATTCCCTGGCAGGAGCGCCAGGCGGGCGGAATGGAGCAAGCCCCCGCGCCCCGACCCCGCTCCCTGGCAGGAGCACCAGGTGGGTGGAACAGGGCAAGCCCCCACACCCGACCCCGCTCCCCGGCAGGAGCGCCAGGCAGGCAGAATGGAGCAAGCCCCCGCACCCCGACCCCGCTCCCCGGCAGGAGCGCCAGGTGGGCAGAATGGAGCAAGCTCCCATGCCCAGACCCCACTCCCCGGCAGGAGCACCAGGTGGGTGGAACAGGGCAAGCCCCCACACCCGACCCCACTCCCCGGCAGAAGCACCAGGTGGGTGGAACAGGGCAAGCCCCCATGCCCAGACCCCACTCCCCGGCAGAAGCACCAGGTGGGTGGAACAGGGCAAGCCCCCATGCCCAGACCCCGCTCCCCGGCAGGAGCACCAGGTGGGTGGAACAGGGCAAGCCCCCATGCCCCGACCCCACTCCCCGGCAGGAGCGCCAGGGGGCGGAATGGAGCAAGTCCCCACGCCCCGACCCCGCTCCCCAGCAGGAGCACCAGGTGGGCAGAATGGAGCAAGCTCCCATGCCCAGACCCCACTCCCCGGCAGGAGCACCAGGTGGGTGGAACAGGGCAAGCCCCCACACCCGACCCCACTCCCTGGCAGAAGCACCAGGTGGGTGGAACAGGGCAAGCCCCCATGCCCAGACCCCGCTCCCCGGCAGAAGCACCAGGTGGGTGGAACAGGGCAAGCCCCCATGCCCAGACCCCACTCCCCGGCAGGAGCACCAGGCGGGCGGGCGGAATGGGACGAGCCAAACAACCTTATAACGGAACGTTGCGTAACTTTAAGCAAGTATGTTCTCTAATAGATCAGCAACCTAATAAAGGAACAATGTTAACTGGGATGACTTTAAGGGAGGAGTTACTGTATAGCTACCCTAAATTAGTCTTTTCCGTACCAGGTTCCCCTCCTATTTTAGCGACATGGGCAAGGCAGGATGGTTGCCGCCTCCTGACACCTGTTCGCAACCCCCTGAGAACTCTATGAACTTGCGTGGGCATTGTGTGCAGTGGGCATCACTGCAGTATCAGCACCTCACGAGCTTTGATGTGTTTATCCTCACGCACTCCTGTGAGGCTGGGCCCGACTGCACAGAGGGGAAACTGAGGCACGGAGCGGCTAAACGACGGGCCCAAGGAAACCACAGGGAGTCTGTTGCAGAGCAGGGAACTAAACTCCGGTCTCTGACGTCCCAGGCTGGTGGCCCAACCATGGGCCCATCGTCCTGGGACTGAGCCATGTGACCTCATCCGTGACCGCGGCTCTCTTGGGTCATGCCCTCTCCCACAGGAAGCGTGCCTTCCCCCAAGAGCATCACGTCCTGGTTTACGTCGAAAGGCCTGGGGAAGACCCTGGACGAGATGACGGTCACCATCCCCCATGACATCTACGTCTTTGGCACCCAGGAGAACTCGATGGGGGACAAGGAGTGGGTCGACTTCCTCCGGGGCATGCTGAAGGAGTTCACGGAGATAGAGTACCGCCCGGTAAGAGCCCCAGCACCGGGGCAGGGCCTGAGGAGACGGCCTGGGACCCAGGGCTCTGCAGTTCTACACAGCCGCACAGTGGGCCACCCGCGTCTTGAGGGGAAGCTCCTGGAGACGACAGCTTCCCCGCATGCCATGCTCCGGCTGCGCCGCTCGGCTCAAGAGGGAGCCTTGCCTGCTGGGACGCTGTCGTCTCCAGGGGCTGACCCGCCGTATTGAGAGTCAGGATGTCTGCAACCCCCTCTGGTTGAGGATCAGCCGTTAGACTCCCCGGCCTCCAGCCTCCAAATCCAGGTGGATCCCAGGCTGTGGATGGCCGCGGGATAGCGGAAGGGCTTGGGGAGACGGTTGCTGGGGTGGCCGTCCTCCCGAATCCTCAGCATTGCTGGAGTTGCCATTTTCACCTGGAAGAGTGGATGGGGGAGGGTGTCGGGACCGGGTGTGAAAGCCTGTGGCCACGGGCGGCAGGTATAATAGGCCGGGGGAGGCTAAGGCTCCCCAGACGGGATGTGGTGCACCTCCCTTTGGAGCACTGCTTGCTGCTGAAAGGGCATCTGGGCAGTAGCCCCCACCCCACGCTCTGCCCTGAGGCCCTGCTCCCTCGTCCCTCTCTTACCCCGTGCGCCCCCCCGCCCCACTGCTCCTCTTCCCATCTCCACTCCGCCCCTTCCCCCGTGCGCCCGTCCCTGCCCCGCTCGCGCTTCTCCGCCCCTGAGAGGCAGAGAGGTGTGGGCAGGGGGCCCTCAGGGGAAGGGGGTGGGGAGAGGCCCGGTGGGGTGGCTCCTTGGGGGAGGGGGTGGAGAGGTGCAGGTGGGGAGCCCCTCGGGGGAGGGGGTGGAGAGAGGTGCAGGCAGGGGGGCCCCTCGGGGGAGGGGGCGGAGAGAGGCACGGGCAGGGGGGCCCTCGAGGGAGGGGGGCCGAGTGGGAACTGGGCCTGGGGCGGAGTGTGGGTGGAGCGTCAGCGTGGCCTCGGGGGGGGGCAACGCCGAGTGGGGGCAGGCGTCAGGGCAGGGCCACGGTCCGGGCCCCCCACACTTCGAGGGAACTTCCAGCACTCAGGCCCAGCCTCCCGCGGGGAGTCACGCACTGCCCATGCCTGCGGCCACAGGTCTCTGAGCCCTTTAACCTCCTGAGGTGGACGCGTCAGGCTTTTGGAGTGAGGGGTCTCAGCTGCGAGGTCTTTGGCCAGCGTTTCCCAGCCGCGCCCTAGCGTTTGGGGTGTTGCGCACTGGCGTCTGTACTCCCCCCCAGAGGTGGCAGCATTATTCATGCATGTGTGAGAATTCAGTGGGAGGGGGAATTCAGTGCTGCTTGCTTGCTTTGGGATCCTTCAGCACCCACAGAGCTGCGTGAAGCACAAGGCGTTACATTTAACCGGGCTTTTATCCCTTTCCTGCAGTCATGGTCAATTCAGGAAGAGTCCCAGGTTTAGGGACTGCTCCGTGAAAATGTCCTGACCGCTGAGGGGCCCCGAGCACCTGCAGCTGCGCCCACCGGGCACTGTAACCCCACCCTGGCCTGGTGCAGAAGCAGTGAGCCCATGCTGCCCTCACCTGGCCAGTGGCGGCTCCTGGGTCCCGCCAGCTGGGCCAGGCCTGTCTCCGCTCCGAGCCGGCGGTTTTCCCTGTTCCTCCGTCATGATGGAGGGGTGGCTAGGCCAAACCTGAGCGCTGCTGTGATCCCACGCGCCTGGTCACCACGCTCGGAGCAGGGAGCTGGGCCCAGCCCCGAGGCACAGGAGCCCCTGCTGCGGGGAGAGAAGCCTCCTGTAAACATCTGGGTTGTGCCTTGGTGGTTCAAAAATGTCCTTGTTGGAACAGGGAAAGGGAGGAGCAGCAGCTATCGGACATGTCTGCCCCGGGCACAGATTGGACTACAATTCCTGGCAGCCACCCTGGCGGCTTTCAACCTCACCAAACTTCATTTAAACCTCGGTTTGCAAACACTGAGCCACAGGGAGTCTCTGCAGGCACTCCCGGGCATCTCGGTGGGTTTGTTCTCATTGCTGCACGCCTGGTTCTTGCTGCAGGTGGGGTTTCAGGGTCGGTGACCTTAGGGCAGCTGCTGCCTCCGAGCCAGGCTCCGGCGCCCCCGCCAGGAGAGTGGAGGTGTAACGTTGTCTTGTTGGCCCCCTGCCAGATCGCGATGCAGGCTTTGTGGAACATTAAGATTGCCGTCCTGGTGAGACCGGAGCACGAGAACCGGATCAGCCACGTCAGCACCTCGAGTGTGAAGACCGGGATCGCCAACACGCTAGGTAGGGGCCGATCTAGGCGCTGTGGGGGCTAGACTAGGTACCTGGGACAGACAGACTCAGCCCTCTGCACTCACCTTTAGCATAGCTGGCTAGGAGTGACTGAGGGTGCACCCTGGTATCTACGTTTTTCCCGATAGGGCCCTTCTATGCAAGTGATAGATTCCTATGGTCTTGGAGTAGCAGGTCACAGTTCTAGTCCCAGTTCTTTGCACCATGTCTGTATGTTCTGGCCGCACAAGCTCCAGTGGGGCTGCCATCCAAAATTAGCATTTTCTGATTCTGGGGGTGGGGGTTAGAGCTGGGGTTTGAGACTGGGACTGAAGCTTGGGTGGTGGAAGAGGGGACTGGATGGCTCAGAGGATTGGGATACTGTGCAGGGCCTTTCAGATGCAGTTGGCCATCCTGATCTGGTCTGGGTCACTAGTCGTTACTGTCTGTGCCTCTTCACTGGCCTTTGTGAAGCGCCTTGGTGGGTCTCACACCAGTTCCGGAGAGGTCAATGGCCAAATGGGCCTGGAGACTGAATTTCTCTTCCTCCCCTCCAGCACAGGGTTGGGGCAAGTTAGCACCAAGATGAGTTGATTTAAATCATCAATTGTAATGGTGAGCTAAATCAGCAAGCCGGAAACCATAATTTAAATCACCGATTTTAATCATATTTTGCATTGGTACTTTTTAGTTACTTCCCTAAAGAAAGGTTGAGTCTCGTTGGCTGGCAAACATTAAAATGTGTTGACTGCAGCAAAATCTAGCCTTTACCCTAAATGTGGTTCATCTTTTTGCTAGGCAAGAGGATATACTGCATCTATACCCATTGATTTAAGCACTATAGAGCTTGACTTACATTTATTCAGATTCTTAATTTTTACCTTTTTCATTGTGTTAGAAAATGGTAAATGACACATTTCTTATTGAAATAATGGATTTTTTACTTGTGATATGTGCCAAGCTCTATTTGGATGGAAATCCAAATTCAATTTAAAATGCACAAAAACCACTTTTTACATTAAATAAAATGACCATAAATGGGCTGGAGATATCAGGAAAAATAGTTCATCAAAACATGTTTTGCCTTTAAAACTAAGTGACGTTATTACCCACAAGAAGTATGAGCTGTAGTTAGTGAATTTAGCTGATTGTTTCTGGTCACCATGTCCTTCAAGATTTTAGAGCTAGTAGATTTCATCCTCTCACACCTTGTTTTTATTCATAGAATGAGGGAGGAAACCAAGCTTTCCTGCTTTTTCAGCTCCCAGTTGATAGCTTAACTTTGAATGAACTAGTCATTGAACTGAACAAGTTGAATAAACTGAAATGAAAACAATGTTCTCGTTGCAGCTGTAGAAGAGGCTACCGGTGTCAAAAGCTGGTTTAGCCCTTCAACAAGCTCTGGGTCCAGGTGCTTAGCCGGTGATTTTCAGTGCTTTGACTGTCTTGCAAACATGTACTTCTTAATATTACTTTCTGTAGTTAATTTAAATGATTTTAATAGATTATAACAAATTAAGGCCTTAACATAGGTAGTTAATTTTCATTTGAATGTTAAATTGGTTTCTCTTTTAAAAGTATACCTGTATTTAATTTAAATTTTAAATGCCAGGTTTTTTATTAATTTATTTTTAAATCAAAGATGTTTTTTTATCCACCCTGGTTGGCTCAGACGTTCCCTCTGCTCTGGCTTGAGAGGAGCCCTGGCCTGGCACCACCCTCCAGCACAAGGGCACAGACTGTTCTGTGATGCCACAATCCTTTCGCTCGGAAGGCCCTAGGTATTTGCCCTGCTTTAAAATGACCCCAGGGCCTGCCTCTCTGCATCTGCTTCTCCTCCCTTGGCTGGGTTCAGGGCTGGCTCTGCTACCTAAGGCAGTGTAGATGGTGCCCCAGGGCAGCTGAACGGTAATGCGGGCAGCACCTGGATCCTGGCGGAAGGGGTTCGCGGGGTCAGTTACAGCTGGAAAGAGACTGGGTCTGACTATCCCCAAGGCCAGGGAAGGCTAGGATCCAGGGATCTGGTGCAGCTCTTAGCCAGCGGGGACTCTCTCCTCCCCCTACCCACCCTAATGGCTTTGTGTTTTTTCTGCTCACTCCAAGCTGCCGGTGCTGGCTTCGGCTGCTGTGCCATGGGCCATCAGTGCCCAGAGTGGGCCTGGGAACCGAGCCCCAGCCCGGCCTGAGTGGGGCTCACCCCCTCCCCTTCTTTGTTTTGCAGGCAATAAAGGGGCTGTGGGAGTTTCCTTCATGTTCAATGGCACCTCTTTCGGCTTCGTGAATTGCCACCTGACCTCAGGCAACGAGAAGACGGCCAGGTGAGTGCGGGGTGCAGGGCAGGGCAGCCCCTTGCAGAGCGGGAGCCTGTCACCTAGCTCTGAGCTGGGGGGACGGGCCCATTGGTCCCCCCAGGCACAACGGGGCTGAGCGGAGAGCTGCTGGTAGCTCCTGTCGCTGGCCGTGGGCAGCACGCGAACATGGCCGCTGGCTCTGGACAGGAGACGCTTTGGTCTCCATGGAGAGGCACCACCCTCGCGCGCTCCTGCTCGCTTACAGACGTGGCTTGCTCACTCCTGGACATGCAGACATGCTTGTGCTGGGGACGCTCGCACCTACCCCTGGCCACACTCCTGCTCGCTCTGGCACACTCCTGCTCGCTCTGGCACGCTAGTATTTGCACACCGCCACTTGCACTCCCGGACTCGGTTTGGGGCACACTTGCCACGCATGCATGCGCCAGGTTGAACAGGTTCGTCCTTTCGCACACCCACCCTGGGGCACACTCGCTCACCCTGGCCTTTGCATGCTCCTTCTTGCTTTCTTAGATACAGGTGGACTCCGCCTTGCACGCTTGCGTACACTCAGACACACTTGTGCTCACTCTGTCCCGGCGTATTTCCATGCACCATCCCACACCCTGCTCCTTAGGGCCACATCGCCCTGGGCCCGGCGGTCAGCACGCAGCGATTGTCGCTGTTAGCATGCACGCTCTGGTCCCGCTGGATGAACTCTGGAAGCACAGACGTTCCCAGGCTAAGCATCATGGTGGGTCTACCGCCAAATGAGGAAAGCCCCCATTTCCTTCCCCCGGTCTCTCTGTCAGGCCTGGAGCTCTTAGCCTGGGAAAAGCATTCATTCTCCACACGCCTTCTCTTTGGTAGAAGCCCTGAGAATATTAAACAACCACCCTATCTGTCATCTGTACCGTCCCGATGGATCCCAGGGGGTGCTTACACACGTAACAAGCCCCACGCAGCGGGTCAGCGCATCTGCCTCTGGGGAGGAGCACGGCGGCGGTTGACAGCACTCAAATTAGGGCACCCAAGCAAACCCGCTGCTCTTGCGGGAAGCGCCTGGGGATCTTTAGTAACTCGGAGCAGTCTAGGCCTTGGGTTTCTGTTCCCAAGCCTGTGCCCCCGGAGACTCTGATCTGTGTCCCCTCCCCTGCCCCCTCTGTGCCGGGCGCATCTCTCTCGGCCTGCCCACCCCTCCCTTCTCCGGCAGGCGGAACCAGAACTATCTGGACATCCTGCGCTTGCTGTCCCTGGGCGACAAGCAGCTCAGCTCCTTCGACATCTCGCTCCGCTTCACCCATCTCTTCTGGTTCGGGGACCTCAACTACCGCCTGGACATGGACATCCAGGTGAGGGGGGCGCGGGCCCGTGGGGACGGGGGCATGGGCCGGGCTGGAGAGGCTGCACCGTGGGGAGGGCAGCCAAGTGAGAGGTGAGGGGCACAGGCCCTTGGGGGGAAAGGAGGGAGGGCAGGCCTGGGGGGTGGGGTGGCCTGTCCTCCCCGCTCTGACCTGCCCGCTTGGTCCTGCCTCCTCCAGGAGATCCTCAACTACATCAACCGCAAGGAGTTCGAGCCGCTGCTCAAGGTGGATCAGCTCAACCTGGAGAAGGAGAAGCACAAGGTCTTCCTGCGATTCGGTGAGGGCGGCTCTGCTGCGGGCGGGGCGGGTGTCTGCTTCCCCCACCGGCTCTGCCCCTTCCCTGCTGGCGTGGGGGGAGCTCTAGGGGGGTCTCCCCTTCTCTGCTGGGGTGTTGCTGGGGGGGGTGTCTCCCCTTCCCTGCTGGGGTGGGGGAGCTTTGGGGGCTCTCCCTTCCCTCCTGGGATGTTGCTGGGGGGGGTCTCCCCTTCCCTGCTGGGGTGGGGGGAACTGTGGGGGGTCTCCCCTTCCCTGCTGGGGTGGGGGAGCTTTGGGGGCTCTCCCCTTCCCTGCTGGGGTGTTGCTGGGGGGGGTGTCTCCCCTTCAGGGGTCGGCATTGCTGGGCCTGGGGTCCGGGGTGTGGATTGTGGCTGCTGGGGGATGCTGCGGGTGGCCGGGCCGAGGCTATTTCTCCTCACGCCCCGGGCTGTGTCTCTGCAGGCGAGGAGGAGATCACCTTCCCCCCGACCTACCGCTACGAGCGGGGCTCCCGCGACACCTACGTGTGGCACAAGCAGAAGCCCACCGGGGTAGGTGCTGGGGGTGGGGTGAGGAAGCAAAGGTATGTGGGGGGGGGCGTTTGGGGGGCTGGGGAGGGATAGCCAGTTCCCGTGGTTGGCTCTCCGGACCCTGTGGGCCAGTGAGGGGCCAGCGCCAGGGGCCCTGCCAGGCTGATGGGCGGGGGGAGGGTGCTGCCTGGCAATGCCTCACCCCAGCGTCCTGTGCCCCCCGCCCAGGTCCGCACCAACGTCCCCTCCTGGTGTGACCGCATCCTGTGGAAGTCGTACCCCGAGACCCACATCAACTGCAACTCCTACGGTGAGTGGGGGGCGTCAGCAGCACCCGCTGCTGGCTGGGATCACACCTGCTCGCCCTCGGGCGGCTGGCCGGGGTGGTCCACCCCCTGGCAGCCCGGGTGGCGCATCTCCCATGGGCGTGCGGAGGAGCCTGTGGCCGGTGCATCTGCACGGAGGTGACCAGGGACCCAGTGCCAGGCGCTCCCCTGGCTGTGCCTGCAGATCTGGCTGTTCCTTGGGGCTAGTCCTGCCCCGGGCCTGGGACACCCTCTCTCCGCTCAACCCCAGAAGCCCCTTCCCCTCACGCCCCCTCGAGCCGCACGACGCCCCTGGGGGGATGGTGAGTGGGGCAGAGTGACAGCCCAGGCTTCCTGCCAGGGCCCTGCTCGCCCAGACCTTGCGGGCACTGCCTCCCTCAGTGCAGGGGGGCCAGGCTGTGCGGGGCTGGGGCTCGCCCTGGGGGGCTCGAGAGGAAAGCCCTCACGGGGGCGTGGGGTAGACAGGGTGGGGGTAGACAGTCTCTCCCAGCTAGGTCCCAGGTTCAAATCCAGCCCAAACGGGTCTAGTCACAGAGGCCTACGAGTTGCGGGTCTCAGTCCGGTTCTCAAGGGGGAGGCGGGCTCTGTTCCCAGGACAAGGGTCTCATCACCGTTAGCCGAGCGCCCCCCTTCCCTTGTAAGCAGCGGCAGCGGGGGGGCCAAGGGCTGAAGAGGCGGTGGGGAGCCTGGGGTGGGCACGTTGGCAGGGCAGCGAGGGGAACTGGGACGGCGGGTGGGCAGAGAGGGCTGGCCCCCTGGGCTATCAGAATTCCCCACTGAATTCTGGCATGAGGGAAACGTAGTTCTCTCCCCGGCGATGTTTCCGAGGTGCGTACGGACGCCCAGCAAAGGGCCGGGCAAGGGGGCTCCAGCGGTGCCCAGCTTCTCAGCTGCCCCGCCAGTGAGCACTGGGGCACTCCACCCCTGGGTCTGGGGCACTCCACCCCTAGAGAGGGCCATGCCTTCCCCTCGGGCCTGATCAGCTGCCAGTCGGGCTCCCTGCCCCTGCTGAGCCCGCTCCCGGCCCCGGGCGCCCTGGCTAGCTCACCAGTGGAGCCTGCTTGTTGGTAGGATGCACCGACGACATCACGACCAGCGACCACTCCCCTGTCTTCGGAGCCTTCGAAGTCGGAGTGACATCCCAGTTTGTCTCCAAGAAAGGTACGGGGGGAAGGCGGGCGTGTGCCTGCCCTGCACTGGGCTGGGTGGCCACCGGCTAGCAATGGCCAAGCCGCTCTCCGCCTGCCCCTGGCCCTGACTTGTCACTGAGCCTCCGTGGGGACACGGATGTCGCAGAGTTGTAGCATTTAAATCCGGAAGGGACTGCTAGAGCATCCGGTGTGACTGCCTGTCTACTGCAGGCCACCGACCTGCACGCTAACCCCGCAGCCGAGAGAGACAGCGCTCGGGGCCACCTCAGAGCCCCATCCTGTGTCCCATCTCCAGCCGTGACCATCCCTCCTGCCTCAGAGGAAGGAGATAAAAAACCCTCCCAGAACACACTGGGGGAGGGGGAAATCCTGAAACCCTGAAGCATGAGCTTTGGGAAGGTAAGCCATAGACCGGAAGCGAGCCCCACGGCTGCCGAGCCCTGCCCTGCCGCCACAAGCAATCCTGTCATGCAGTTCCCACTCGCCCATTTGTCCAGCTCTCTCTTAAAATTAACTCAGTTGTTTGCCCCCACAACTCCTATTGATGGTTAATTTCCTGCCTGAATTTGTTCATGGCTAGTTTCCGTTTGTTCTTGTACCATCACTGTCCTGTAGCTTCCAAAGCTCATTTCCCTCCTTGGTGCTCACCCCCTGGTGTATTCACAGAGCAATCTGATTCCCCTTCTTACTCAACCCCAAGTGCCTGACCGTGAACTTTGGACTACTGAATTTCATCCCCGTTCTGTCCCTCCAGCCTTCAGGGTCATCAGGTCCTCCTGTGTTCCAGTTCGCCTCTGGACTGAAGCTTCCTTCTAACTTTGGGTCGTCAGCACATTTCGTTAGCCCGCTCCTGCTTTTTGTGTCCAGGTCATTAAGAAACACAGTGAATGAGATTGGTCCCAAGGCTGATCCTTGGGGAACTCCGCTAGGAACCTCCCTCCTGTCCAGTAATCACCTTTCAGCGCAACCCGCTGTCTCCTCCCTTTAGCCAGTTCCTTACCCACCTGATGAGTCTTGAACTGATCCCTAACCATGTCTGGCACGATCTACCGTTGGTAAACTCACATTGCATTACGTCTCCTTTGCCAATTACCTCTCTGAATTTCATTATTTCTTTCCTTCACAATTCGTTCTAATGCCTGCTGCGGTCTGACTAACAAGGTCTGTAACTGCCCGGGTCACTTTTTTTCCCCTTTCTTACATCCAGGGACGTTAGCTATTCTCCATTCATACGGCGCTACGCCAAATAGCTAGATGCATTAAAAACCCCTTCCTACCGGCCTAGCAACCTCATATGCCAGTGCTTTCAGGATCCTGGGATGGAAACAATCCGGTCCCCCCGGCCTGATTCGAGTGCATTAAGCTCGTTAAGTTTTTCTTCCGCCTCGGCCGTGGTAATTACCATTTCTAGACACTCATTTCCATCAGCCATCCTGCTTTCGTCCACACGCTCTGATCCTTGTTACTGAAAACCGAGGCGAAGTATGGCTGTTATTTTGGGGCCATACCTAGATGATCTTTAATCTCCTTCCCCACCACACTGCATACCTCACCAGCCCCAGACGTCACCACCTCGGGATTGCTGGACCCCCGCATGATCCTGTCTCACTGCCCCAGGAGAAGGCAATGCCACCCTAGGTCCGTGCCTCCTGTTAGCCCTGCTCTCCTGTCGTCCCCTCGGCTGTGCCCTGTGTCAGTTCTGGGGCACACTTGGCTCCATCACCCAACCCAGAAGGGAGATGAACTTGCTTGGGGCCCAGCAGACCTGTAGCTCTCCAGGCTTGATACCAGCTGTGATAAAAACTGAGCTGGGGGTGTCTTCCTTGTCCCTCATATGAACCTGTGGGTCCTGTCTTCTTGGGGCAGCCATAACCCTCTCCACAGTCTGGCCTCGTGGCTGGAACACTGGATCGGGACTCAGCAGACCTTGGATTTGTCCCCAGCTCTGCCACTGGCTTGCCGGGTGACCTTGGGCAAGTCACTTTCCCTCCCCGTGCCTCAGTTTCCCCCTGTGTAAAATGAGAATAATGACCCCGCCCTACTTTGTACAGCGCTTGGAGATCTAGGGATGAGAGGTGCTAGGTAAGAGCTAGCCGGGTGAGGTGTTCTACTCTGATTATTCTCTGCTCCCAGGGCTCTCCAAGGCCTCAGACCAGGCCTACATTGAGTTTGAGAACATTGAAGCTATCGTGAAGACGGCCAGCAGGACCAAGTTCTTTATCGAGTTCTACTCCACCTGCCTGGAAGGTGCATGCCTGACACCCCCTCCCTCCCCCCACTCGCCTGGTTCACACATACCGTGTAGCCCACTGGCTAGTGTAGACGGGAGCCTCTCCACCATCTGCTGTGTGTGAGCCCATGGCCCGCCAGCGGCTGCAACCAGCAGAGGATGTAAAAGCCCTAATTCTCCTTGTGCTAGTGGAGATTCTCCTTTAGCTCAAGCAACAGAGGCCTGCGGAGTGCTGGGTTTGGGGGTGTGTCTGTCCCCACATGGGGTCAATTTAGTCCTAGGACAGTTCCATTCTGGCTAGATGGGGGCAGGGTGAGAGGCGTACCATGGGACTGCTCCACTGTGTCTGAAGGCCGGGGGAGTGTGTGCCTAACCCGAGCCTGCCACTTCCTCTCCCCCAGAGTTCAAGAAGAGCTTCGAGAATGACATGCAGAGCAGTGACAACATCAACTTCCTGAAGGTTCAGTGGTCCTCGAGGCAGCTGCCCACGGTGAGAACTCCTCCCCTCCGCCAGCCAATCACCCTGCCACCCCCTCTGTGCAGAGGAGACACCACCTTGTTATTGGTAGTAACAATCCCATAATCTTTACAAAGCGGGTCAGTATCATTATGGGGAAACTGAGGCACAGATCAGGGGTGTGACTTGCCCAGGGTCACCCAGCAGACCAGTGGCGGGGCCGGGAATAGGACACAGCTCTCCCAAGCCAGTGCTCTATGCATTAGAGCACACCGGCTCTCTGTCCGGGTGGGAGAATGCGGGTGGTCGGTTCGATTGGCAGGGGGAGCGGGATCCCTGTATTACTGCACCTTGCTCCGCTGTGCCCTGTAGCTGCTACATGCAGCGTGTTGGCCTCCTTGTGCTGAGTAAATGTCCATTCTCCATGGATTCTCCCTGGCTGCAGCTGAAACCGATTCTGTCCGAGATCGAGTATCTCCAGGACCAGCACCTGCTGCTCACGGTCAAGTCCGTTGATGGCTACGAATCCTACGGTAAGGAGCAGGAGGGGGAGTGTGGCCTGGGAGTAACATCGCCCTCCAGTGGCCGAGCCACAGAGTGGCTAAGGGAGGGATCTGCTATAGCGCCTGGCATTCTCCTTTGGCTCAAAGGGAGGAGTCCTGGGTTTTGGTGCTGTAGGCCCAGGGTTCTAGTCCTGGCTGCCCTAGGTGAGGTCTGTTCCCAGCTCTGTCGCCGATTCCTGTGGGCTATAACTTAGAAACATAAAAACGGCCAAACTGGGTCAGACCAAAGGTGCATCTAGCCCAGTATCCTGTCTTCCGACAGTGGCCAGTGCCCGGTGCCCCAGCGGGAATGAACAGAACAGGTAATCATCAAGTGATCCTTTCCCTATCACTCATTGCCAGCTTCTGGCAAACAGAGGCTAGGGACACCATCCCTGCCCATCCTGGCTAATAGCCATTGATGGATCTATCCTCCATGAACTTATCTAGTTCTTTTTTGAACCCTGTTATAGTCTTAGCCTTCACAACATCCTCTGGCAAGGAGTTCCAAAGGTTGACTGTGCGTTGTGCGAAGAAATACTTCCTTTTGTTTGTTTTAAACCTGCTACTGATTAATTTCATCAGGTGACCCCCTAGTTCGTGTGTTGTGAGAAGGAGTAAATAACACTTTCTTATTCACTTTCTCCATGCCCGTCATGGTTTTATAGACCTCTATCATATCCCCCCTTAGTCGTCTCTTTTCCAAGCTCAAAAGTCCCAGTTTTATTAATCTCTCCTCCTATGGCAGCCGTTCCATACTCCTCATAATTTGTGTTGTCCTTTTTTGAACCTTTTCCAATTCCAATATATCTTTTTTGAGATGGGGTGACCACATCTGCACGCAGTATTCAAGGTGTGGGCGTACCATGGATTTATCTAGAGGGAACACGATATTTTCTGTCTTATTATCGATCCCTTTCTTAATGATTCCCAGCATTCTGTTCGCTTTTTTGGCGGCCGCTGCACATTGAGTGGATGTTTGCAGAGAACTCTCAACAGTGATTCCAAGATCTCTTTCTTGAGTGGTAACAGCTAATTTAGACCCCATCGTTATGTATGTATAGTTGGGATTGTGTTTTCCAATGTGCATTACTTTGCATTTGTCAACATGGAATTTCATCTGCCATTTTGTTGCCCAGTCACCCAGTTTTGTGAGATCCTTTTGTAGCTCTTCTCAATCTGCCTGGGACTTAACTATCTTGAGTAGTTTTGTATCTGCAAATTTTGCCATCTCACTGCTTACCCCTTTTTCCAGATAATTTATGAATATGTTGAAAGGACTGGTCCCAGTGCAGACTCCTGGGGGACCCCGTTATTTACCTCTCTCTCTTCTGAAAACGGACCATTTATTCCTACCCTTTGTTTCTGTCTTTTAACCAGTTACTGATCCATGAGAGGACCTTCCCTCTTACCCCGTGACTCCCTACTTTGCTTAAGACCCTTTCCTGAAGAACCTTGTTAAAGGCTTTCTGAAAGTCCAAGTACACCGTATCCTCTGGATCACCCTTGTCCCCATGTTTGTTGACCCCCTCAAAGAATTCTAGTAGATTGGTGAGGCGTGATTTCCCTTTACAAAAGCCATATTGACTCTTCCCCAGCAAATGATGTTCATCTACATATCTGATCATTCTGTTCTTTACTATAATTTCAACCAGTTTGCTTGGTACTGAAGTTAGACTTACCAGCCAGGGTCACCTCTGGAGGCTTTTTGAAAAATTGGCGTCACATTAGCTAATGTAGTAGGAAGTCAGCTTGAGATATGAGCCCTTGTACCAGAGGCCTGGTATGAGGCAGGCCCTGCTCACAGAATCTGGCAAGAGCAGGGCTGGTGGGGGAGTGGCGCTATGTGGGAAAGAAAACTTATTGAAAACATATGTGTATTATTGCCACTCCCCCACCAACATGACCTACTTTGTCGTTTCGATATCTTTTGTACCCTGGTATCGCTGTGTCTCATTGCTTATCCTCATTCCACCAAGTTTCTGTGATGCCTGTTACATCAAAATTGGAATTGGAAAAGGTTCAGAAAAGGGCAATAAAAATGCTGAGGACTATGGAACGGCTTCCATATGAGGAGAGATTAATAAGACTGGGACTTTTCAGCTTGGAAAAGAGATGGCTAAGGGGGGATATGATTGAGGTCTATAAAGTCATGACTGGTGCAGAGAAAGTAGATAAGGAAGTGTTGTATACTACTTCTCATAACACAAGAACCAGGGGTCACCAAATGAAATTAATAGGCAGCAGGTTTAAAACAAACAAAAGGAAGTATTTCTTTACACAATGCACAGACAACCTGTGGAACTCCTTGCCAGAGGATGTTGTGAAGGCCAAGACCCTAACAGGGTCCATAACAGACCTTAGGTCTGACCCAGTAGGGCCATTCTTATGTTCTTATCCACATCCTCATTTAATACCACCCACTCGAGTTCACCCATCTTAGTACTGAGACTTCTTGCATTTGTAGACAAGCTCTTACAACATTTCTCAATGTTTAGCTCTCTGCCTTCATGTGATGAAACTGAATGGGACTCTTTTTTGTTTGATTGTTTCTCTTCAGTTCCTACCTGTACTTTATCAACTTCGATCCTCTCCTCTTTATGAGGATAGAGAAAATCCCCGCTAACAGATCCTCCCCTAAGGGATGTCTCTGTCCTGAACCGTGTGCTCAGCACCTGTAATGGTCTTGACAGAAGAAGGAGCAATGGTCTCAAGTTGCAGTGGGGGAGGTTTAGGTTGGATATTAGGAAACACTATTTCACTAGGAGGGTGGTGAAGCACTGGAATGCGTTACCTAGGGAGGTGGTAGAATCTCCTTCCTTAGAGGTTTTTAAGGTCAGGCTTGACAAAGCCCTGGCTGGGGTGATTTAGTTGGGGATTGGTCCTGCTTCGAGCAGGGAGTTGGACTAGATGACCTCCTGAGGTCCCTTCCAACCCTGATATTCTATGATTTTGTGATTCACCTGTTGGCTTTCCCTCAGCACTTAGCTTAAAAACTCCTCTACAACCTTTTCAAGTTTATACACCCAGCAATCTAGTTCCATTTTGTGCAGCCCGTCCTTTCTGTGAAAGCTCCTCCTTTCCCAAAAGGCTCCACCAGTTCCTAATAAACCTAAAACCCTCCTCCCTACGCCTACGTCTTTCAGAATGAAGTCTAAAATGGCTTCCCCCCGATTACTTCCTCCTCTTTCTGAAACGAGTCATCCCCACTACAGTCCGAGAACTTGCTGAAAGGTTTGCGTGTTGCCTTTTCCATCAGATGTCTGCATAGTTAAAGTCCCCCCCTTGTTACCAAGGCTTGCGTTCTGGATAGCTCTGTTATTTGTAGTAGAAACACCTCCTCCTTTGGTGGTCTGCCATGATGTCACCCCTATTCTCCTTCCCTCCTTTTATTTTTACCCAGAGACTCTCTGGTCTGTCTCCCACCTCCTTCTGGGCCTCAGAACAAGTGTAGATATTCTTGGTATATAATGCAACACCTCCTGTCTCTGCCCCTCTCCTCACTGTGGCATCTGAGCCCCCCTCCCCATGGAGCCTCACACGGCCCCTTGGCAGTAGGGAAACGTCATGTTCCTTTCCCAGGTGGAAGCTGAGCTATTAAGTGACTTGCCCAGGGTCAGCCAGGGAGTGTGTTCCAGAGCTAGGAATTGAACCCAGGTCTCTAGCGTCCCATTCCAGGCTCCACCTACCTCCCTCTCGCTCCAGGGGCTCGGCTCCTGAGTGCAATCGCGGAGCTGCTCTTGCCTGCGGGAGTCCCACCCCCGTCTCTGATCCGTAGTGCTGTCTCTGCAGTGTCTTCTCCCCCCCACCACGCTCCTTTGGGGTCACGTTGCTGGGGATGGAGGGGAGGGCAGGGCACTGCCATGGGCACCTCTCTCCCCCACCCTGTTGACCTTGACTGGTGCCTGCCTTCTGGCTGTCCCGCCGACGCCTCTTCTCCTGCCCGTCCTCCAGGCGAGTGCGTGATCGCCCTGAAGTCCATGATCGGCAGCACTGCCCAGCAGTTCCTCACCTACCTGTCCCACCGCGGGGAGGAGACGGGCAACATCCGGGGTTCCATGAAGGTCCGGGTCCCGGCCGAGCGGATGGGCACCCGGGAGAGGCTCTACGGTGAGCGGGTGGGGCGGGGGGGGACCATTCCGCCTTTCAGGGGCTGCCTGCCAGGCATCCAGGGGTTACACCCTGTGGGAACGCGGCCCGGCTGCCGCAGCTGATTGCATGGTCCGATGGAGCCATTAGCCAGCAGGCAGGGGGGGGGGATTTGCCTAGAAGAAGCTGGATGTTCTCCAGTTAAGCAGAGAGGCAGGCCGGAGCCGGGCCGCTGCTATTGCGTGGCTCAGGGTTTGAAGCCAGGCCAGGCCAGCAGCCGGGGGGAAGGTGGTGCCATCTAGTGAGTGGCTGGGGGTGGCTCCATCTCTCCACCGCTGGAGGTGCCCGAGAGACAAGGGATCTGGGGGCTGAGTTTCCCACCCAGCCCCAGAGCTGGGGAGCCAGCGAGATGGTGCCAGGTGGGTAGAAGGAGCCCTCCAAGGGGCGGGGGCAGGATCCTCGTGGCCTGGGACTGCATCGAGCCAGCCAGGGAGCAGCCCCGGGCGAGGCGCTGAGTGAGCTAAGCCGGGGGGGGTGCTTGGCCGCTGAGCGGGTGCGTGTCTCCCGCCCGCAGAGTGGATCAGCATCGACAAGGACGAAACCGGAGCTGCCAAGGGGAAGCTGCCGCTGGTCTCCCGGGCCAGCCAGGAGCACGCCAAGTAAGGATGGGCTGGGGGCGGACACGCTGTGGCAATGACGCTCTGGGAAGAAGCAGGGCCCGGGGGGGAAGGCAGGGGGCGCTCTCCGCCCAGGGGGAGGGATGCCCCGGGGGCGTGTCTGTCCGGTCAGCCCTGTCACTCATGGGGATGGTCAGTGACCCTCTGCACTGGCCTGGTCTCCCCCTGGCAGGAGGATCCTGGCCTGGCGTCAGGGGAGATCAGCGAGCAGCGCAGGGTCCACCCTGCCGGGGTGGCGGGTGGCTTTTGGGGCAGGGCCCTGGCTGAAGAAGCTTCCCAGGAGCAGACAGGGTTGTCAGGGGCTGGAAGGTTTGGGGTGAAGGGGCAGCAGGGGAATGACACAGGCGCTTCGGCCTCGCTTTCCTGGTGTCCCCGGGAGGGGGAGAGGGGGATGATAGTGGGAGCCCTGCGGAGAACCGGTGAGCTTCCAGCTGGGAGGGTATGGACGGGCCCTGCCTCCATCGGCAAATAGTCTCCCCCTCTCTGCTAGATCCGCCGGACGGAAGCTCCTGCCAGGGGAGACGGCAGCCTGCCCCCTCGGGAAGCTGTCTGACGAGCCAGAGAAACCCAGCGCCCTGACTGCCGGGCGTCTGCCAGCCCCACTCCGCGGCACCTCCAAGGAGGAGACCTCTCAGGCCAGGTCAGTGCGGGGCAAGCTGGGCCCCCAGCCCCCTTGGTACCACCGTGAGCTCACTAGAACAACGGAGCCTCTCACCGGAGAGCTGGCAGGACGTTCCCCCTAGGGAGAACGGCCGGGGACCCCCAGTGTTGGGGGCCTACGTGCCTTGGTGGTGACGTCTCAAGCGGCTGCCGGGGACCTTCCCGTTGGGGAGAGATGCCTGGGGTAGAGGAGTCCTCCAGAGCAAGGAGTACAGCTGAGAGGGGCCCTGAGCACTGTACGTGCCCCATAGCGAGAGACAGTCCCTGCCCCAAAGAGCCTGCGGTCTGTATAGACAAGGCAGACGATCCCCTGCAATGCCCGCCGCAGGCCAGCCTCTCCTCCTCCCTGCCCCTTGGCGTGTGCCCCCAGGTGACTGACCCATTCTCTGCCCTCAGGTCCAAGCAGGACTCGGCCCCGGAGCCCGACGGCGGCCCCATGAAGAACAGCTTCAATAACCCGGCCTACTACGTGCTGGAGGGGGTCCCGCACCAGCTGCTGGCCGCGGACCCCCCCACTCCCTCCAAGGGGCCGGCCCCCAAGAACAAAGTGCAGATCACGGTGCCCGTGCAGCCCGAGTGGCGCCGACAGCCGCTCCCGGGCCGGGGCGAGGAGAGCTCCTCGGACGAGGACACGGGCACCCTCAACCTGCCACCCCCCGACTTCCCGCCTCCGCCGCTGCCCAAGGCCGTGGAGTTCGAGGTGGCTGAAAACCCTCTCTACGCCAGCGCCAAGGACCTGGGTGGGGCAGCTGGCCGGGAGGAGCCCTGCACCGCCAAGCCATGGGCTGCTGTGGCCTTCAGCGATCCCTTGGAGTCCAAGCTGGCCCCACCCAAGCTACACCCCAGGCCTCCCCCCTCCCCTGGACCTGGCTTCCTGATGGAGCCCCCCAATGCCCCCCAGGCCCAGGGAGGCCTCCTGGATGATCGCTCCTGCTCGGTGCTGCAGATGGCCAAGACCCTGAGTGAGGTGGATTATCCGGGCAGCAAAGGGGGCAGCGGCCTGGGGCGGGAGCAGCAGGGCCGGCCGGCCCCACATCTGCTCAGCAAAGGGCGGCTGGACCTGCCCCCCAGGTGCATGCACCCCGACTACAGCCGGCCTATCACGTTCCCACCCCGTTCCATCAGGGAGAGCATCGAGGAGGACCTGGCTGAAGAGGTACCTGCAGGAGCTTGTCAGAGGCTCTATGAGATCAGGGGTCACAGTGCCCTCCCTCTGGGGTCCCTCAGCAATGTCCCTCTGCCCCGTGCACACGGGGGCAGGCTCAGCCAAGCCGCTCTGGCTAAGAGGCCCCAGGTTGAAATGGCTGAAGGCTGAGGGTTCTCAGCCGCCCTGGAATCGATGTCCCCTGCCCCCAGCAGAGCCCCAGCCTCCTACCTGGTCCTGCCACCTGGAGTCAGGGGAATGGAGTTCTCCTCCCAGCTCTGCCACTGACTCACTGTACGGCCACGGGCAGCTTACTGGCCTGCTCTGTGCCTCGGTTTTCCCATCTGGACAATGGGCCTGCGGATACTGCCCAACCCCCCGGGGGCATGAATTCATCAGTCCAAAGTGACTGGGGTCCTGGGATGGGAGGTGCTGGAGCCAGGCCCTGGGTTAATCGGATTTCCCCGTGCACGGAGCAGGCATCAAAGCCGTTGCACGAGCCCCTTTGCTCAGCGTGTGCATGCAGGAGGGTCCCGGGGAGGGGTGGGGGGGCAGCTGGACCCCCGGGGTGCCTGATGTACTGTGCCAATCTGCTCTGCGCAGGCGCTGGGCCAGGGAGGGAGGAGCAGCTCCAGCCTGAGCGAGTGCAGCGTGGGCGAATGGCTCCTGGCCCTCGGGCTGGAGAGGTACGAGGAGGGGCTGATCCACAATGGCTGGGACGACCTGGAGTTCCTCAGGTGAGGGGACCTGGCCGGATCAGGCTCCGGCGCGCGTGACCACCCTGCTCAGGGGGACGTTGGCTTGGCAGGAGCGGTGAGCCCAAGCTGGGGGCAGGGGCATGAATCCAACGGGGCCTAGAGAGGCTGGCGAGATGGGTGCATCCTAGGAGGCGGGGATGGAGATAGCTGGGGCCCTACCAAACTCAGGGTCCATGTTGGTTAATTTCACAGCCAGAGGGTTTTAAAAAGTTAAATTTCACGTTTTCAGAGGTTTACATCTGAAATTTCAGGGTGTTGTAACTGTGGGAGTCCTGACCCAAAAGGAGGTCGTGGGTGGGGGGTCACAAAGGTGTTGTAGGGGGGTCACGGGATTGCCCTCTCATTCTGCGCAGCCCCAGAGCTTCCTGCAGCCGGGGGAGGTACCCGGAGGTTGGTCTGATCTCCCACCAAGAGCGGCCATGTCCCGGCCCGGGACTAGCAGTTGGAGCCCAATTCACGGGAAGCCCTGCCCCTGCCCCTCTCCCTCCCCTCCAATAGCTCAATTTTATGGGGGAGATCTGATTTCGCGGTCCGTGACGTTTTTTACACAGCTGTGAATTTGGTTGGGCCCTCGAGATAATCCGTGGGAGCAGGGAATTTAAGGAGCAGGAAGGGGCAAGACACCGAGGTGGGGAGCCATCGGCGTCTGTGATGGGACAGCCAGCGGTGACCTGGGTTGCTGCCTCGCTGATGAGATCGCCCCGTCCTGCCACGGAGAGCGACGCCCGTGCTTGGGGGCGGGGGGGATTGAACAAGCTACCTCTACCCAGTTGGTGGGGGCAGAGGCAGTAAGGAGCAGTGTGATGAATGGGGAGAGGAGCGGGGTGGGGTGGGGAGCGTACAAGGAGGAGAACGGATGAGCAGAGATGTCTCCCGGTTGCCCAGGATCTTAGCAAATGCCAGCTGCTGGGGGCCCGGCCCGTTCCACGGACCTGGCATGCCAACATCCTTTCCGAGTCCAGCACAGCATCCTGGTTCTCCAGGGCCCTCGCTCTCCATCCCAGCATGCTGGCGGGTTGGGGAGCACGGGGTGGAAGTTGGGCCTTTGTGCCGCTAGGGGGCGCCGCTGCCCTGGAGAACCCGGGGCCCTGCTCCCAGAGCGGGATCAGCTGAGAGGGGCACTAGTCTGTGTGGCCCGCGACAGGGGCTCTGTCCTCTCGAGCAGGCATGTAGTGCAAGGCGCCTCTTGTCGAGACACCCGGTTACCTGCCACGTGGCACAGCGTTGGTGCATGGCTCCGGCCGCCTGACGCCCGCTCCTGGGCTGCCGTATTGGGATGACGGTGCGATCTCTGCCCATGGCGCAGGTCTCTGCCGGGAAGGGCCCTGGGTAGGCGCCGCCAGCCTTCCTGGCAGGGAAGCGTCACTGGTCCCAGGCAGGGGTCCCTGTTGGCAAACACTGCTTTCTCCAGGCACCTGAGAAGCATGTACCGAGGGGGATCTCACCCATGCCTGAGTCTCCTTGGTGAGATGAGAAGTCAGAGAAGTGTTTCCTCGTGGTTAGAGCTGGGGACCGTGCGCCAGGACGCCTGGGTTCCATTTGGGGCTCTGCCACTGACTCATGTGGGTAAATAATATCCCCTGCCTGTGGCTGGGGGCGGAGGGGTGCTGCGAGGGTTAACTGGTGTCTGTGCATTTCCAATCAGAGGGGGGCTATTTAGTCACCTGCTCTCCAGGGACGCAGGGTGGGGGCTGGCTGCTGAGCTCCTGTCCTCTCCCCCCTTCCAGTGACATCACGGACGAGGACCTGGAGGAGGCCGGGGTGCTGGATCCCAACCACAAGCGCCTCCTGCTGGAGAACCTGCAGAAGCTCAAGAAGTAGCAGGAATCTGCGCCTCCCACACCACCGTGCCCTGGGCGTGCCACTCTGCGCTGGCTCCTGTTCACGTCCCCCGGCCCACTCCTGCCTCCTCCCACATAGGATCTCGGGGGCTTTCACTATGCCTGCGCCCCCCTTCCCCCTGGCGGGGAGGGAGGGGACTCGAGGCAGCCACGGGCTGCATCCCCATGGGGGGCCGGGGCAGCGCTCCAGCCTCCCTGCCGCAGCAGCTCCGGGGGACACTGGCTTGATGCTGCGTCTGCAGGGGGGGCACCCCAGAGATGGAGCTGTGGGCGTGGAGTGCAGAGGAGCTGCCTCACGGCGACCCAGATCCTACCTGTCCTCACCTCCCATGGCTTCCTGGAGGAAGCGGGGCTGAGCCAACCCAGAGCAAGGGGGCGATGGGTGGGAGGAAGACGGAGAGCCGCACGTGGGCTGAGCGGGGGCCATCCCATAGCTGGGGGATGGAAGTGGGCTAGGCCTCACGGCAGAAGCCCTGGGAGCAGGGCGCTCTGCTGCCTAAGTTATTGCGTATTTATTGAACTAAGGGAAGAAGGTTTGTCTTGTTTCAATGCCAGGCAGCCTGGGCTTGCTCTGGTTTATGCCTCTCCTCCTCCTTTGCACGGACGTTCCCCTTCAGCCAAGCCAGGCCCTTTCCTGCACCCCTACATCCCATGGTGGGGACAATGCAGTGGGCAATGCTGGGCAGGGCCTCTCCCCCTTCCCCGGGCACAGGTGCCGCTGGGTTACAGCGCTCAGGTCACCAGGGAGCGGAGACGAGCAACCAGGCTGAGCAAGGGGCTGGAGCAATCTACTGGGGGGGCGAGGCTGCAACCACCCGGAGGGTGGGAAATTGGTGATGGGCGTTGACTAGGGTCAGAGGCTGGAATTAACCTGGGAAGCTTGGCCCAGAGCCAAGGAGGAATTCCCTGCCAGTGCGCTGGATCTAGATGTTGCTTCTTTCCCCATTGGGCTCCTGATAAAACAGCCCCCCCCCCCCCTTCCTGGTTGGCCGGGGAGGGCTGTCTACGTCTGGAACGGTCTCTCCACCAAGTGCCTCTGCCCCAGCGAAGAATTGGAGTAGGGGGGGTCCCTAGGGTCAGCTGGGGAGTAAAGACCATCTCAGCCCTTCTCATTGACTGTGGGAGCCCATGGCAGGGGCAATGGTCCCTCCACCCACTCCTGAGTCCTCCGTCCTCCTCTGGGCCCCATTATCTCATCTCCTCTCCGGCTGTGACGTAGTTGCCTTTAGTATCCCACTAAAGCACGCCCAGCGTAGACAGGGCCTACGGGCCGCGCCCAGGGTCACAGGGGAAGTCTGGCGGAGCAGGAATTGAACCCAGGTCACCCCCGGCCCAGGCTAGTGCACCCCCCGCTGGCCAATTTTCCCTGGTATCCTTCCTGCCGGCTCAGCCCTGCCCAGCAGATGTCCAGCCAGGCTCCATGCACTGCCTTCTGCTACCTTATCTTCTAGCTGCTCCTCCCTGGGCATGGGGACCCAAGGATCCTGCCTTCATCTGTGCCCGCTGGTCATGAGAGCAGGGGGCAGTGTTTGTACCTGGCGCCTTATTCCTCCCTTGGGTCGGAGACGTCTAGGGGGGCAGGGCCTTAGCGCTGCAGTGAGCTAGGGGTTCTTTCCCAGGGAAGCGTGGGAGAACCTGCCTGTCCTTTCTGGGCCCACAGGGGGAACTGTCGGAGGACTGCCCGCTCCGGAGGGTGGCGCGCGGCTGCGTCCACCCTACGGAGGGGTCAGCTGAGTCGTGCTGTAGCTTGTAGCCCTGGCAGGCCAGCCCATGTGCCAGCCAAGGGGCTTGGTGTGGGGGTGGGACTCAAGCGAGGGGCAGCACCCGAGTTACAACGGGAGGTCCCTCTGCAGCGAGGACAAGCCCCGAGTTCGCGTTCTCGCTGCCTGCCTGCACCGCGTTCGTGGTGGGACACTGGGGCAGAGAGCTACAGCCTTGCCCCACGTGCTGCTGTCTGCAGAGCAAGTCCTTCCACTGCCCTCGAGTCTTCACCCACCAGTCTGAGCTGCCAGCAGAGAGCAGGAGAAAGCGGCAGCTGAGACTGGCTACACCAAAGTTGCACCCGTTTAACTGAAAGTGTGATTTCAAACCAGTTTAGTTGAACTAGAGCGAAACCCAGTGTCCGCGCCCTTAATCCAAATTAAACTTGGTTTATATCCATGTAGGTTAGCTTTGACTCCTTCCTGAATTAAGCAAAATGAATAGAAACGGGGCTGCCATCGGCTTAAGAGCACATGCACTGGGTTTTGCTCCAGTTTAATGGGATTGGTTTGAAATCACAACCTGGGTGCAGCGCTGGCCTGTGTCTGCAGCGTCCTCGCCTGCTGCTGAGCGAATCCAAAGCGAGTCAGTGACCCCAGCCGCTTCCCTTCAAGCCAGGCAGGACCAAAGTTCTAACGCCAGGGACTGGGCCTCCGGACACCTGGGTTCTTTTCCCCCTTCAGAGGCCAAGGTGCCCAAGGCCCTATCCGGCAGCTCCTCTGTGGGCTAGGGGGAGAGGGAAACTGAGGCTATTTCACAAATGCCTCGAGATTGTAACTGCGAAGGACGCCGTAGCTCTCCCGGTACCATAAGCGGCTCCTTTGCCAAACCCAGCTCTGCCAGTTTCCTTTGGGGCAGTGGAGCTCCGGCACCCGGCCAGCGCCAGAGCGTTTATAGGCCCCCGTTAACCAGAGAGCCAGGGTGGGTCTTTCCACCGCCATGGGTAGAAATTGTTCCCTTGTTAGCTTAGCTCACCCGCACCACCGCCCACACAGGCTGCTGGGACGTAACCACATTTCTCAGCAGCCTCCTCCCTGCTATGCGTCGCCTGCTGCTTTAGAAGTAACCTGGGCTCTTGGGCTGCCCCTTGTGGCCGTGAAGAGGTTGGTCTGCAAGGCCCTGGGGTGGATGGAGTTAGGGCAGACCCTACCCTGATCCCTTTGCTACCGAGGACCCGAAGAGGAGCATCATTCTTCTCCCCTCCTTCACCGGCCACTGGAGCCCGCCGCGCGGCTGGGCACGTCAGCCTGGTTGCTGGACACGCAGCGCATCAGCGGCTGCTTGGCTAACTTGTTCCAAGCAGGAATGCAGTCAGTGGGGCACTTGCCCCTGCTCTTTGTCAGGCCTGGGCAACTCTATTGACCCCCCAGCGTGGGCCACGTGAGGCGAGAACCTATGCCCCTCCAGCCCCACCCTCGCTCACTGGAGCTAACCCCGTCTCCGTTAGCTCGTAGCAATGGCAAGCTGCTAATCTCAGGACCAGCCACCCAGCGGGGACCCAAAGGCATTGAGCAAGCATGTGACATTAACACCTGTCTCCTCTAACCCCCCTGGAGCCAGCTGCTCATGGGGTCGATCCCGCAGTCTAAGGCCCGCTGCCCAGGGGTGGCGCAGGGGATCGATACAACACCCCCCCCCTCTTTGTGGCGAGTTTGAATCCCGCTTGAGGCAGCGGTGGCAGCCAGGAGCTGTTGCTAGATGAGGTTAAGTCGCTAGAAGAGGGAAAGCCGTGGCCTCCCTCCTTGACTTTCTCTAGGCCCCTTTCCCTGTTAGCACATCCCCTGGAATATTCCTGATGGCTAAGTGGAACAGGGAGAGATCAAGCCTCAAGGATGGGCGAAAGGCCAGAGCACATCCAGGGCTAGCGTGACTGGGTTCACAGTTCAGTTTTAAGCACAGTTCTCATTTAAAGACACCAGCTGCCAAGGGGAGCAGCCCTGGCTGTGCCAGCCCCTTAGGCTGGTGCTGAGGGCAGGTCCCTGCTCACCGATTTCCCTTTCCGACCAAAGGGATTGTCACTGTGATTTGGTCCAGTGTAGACCCCCCTTTCGGTGTCAGTGAAACATGGCTTGCTTCTGTCCCTGTGTTAGCACATCTGTCTCTGGGCTAGGATGGACTGGAACCTTGTTCGGAGGCTGTTCTGAGGGACTGGTTTGTGGACATGGGGCTAGGAGTCGGGAGCCCTGGTTTCTGTTCCCAGCTCTGATGCTGACTTGCTTCCTCGGCGCTTTGGCCCACTCATTTCACTGCTTTGTGCCTCAGTTTCCCCATCTGTAAAATGGAGGCAGTGATGCTCATCCGCTTTTCCGGAGCCGTACACAGGCGAGCACGCATGCCCCAGGAGACTGGGCAGCGTATCCAACCCTTGGAGGACTCTGCTAGATCACTGGGGCCTTTCACACAGAAATGAAGGACGTGTTTGGTTTCCAGTGCGGTTTAGCTAGCGGGTGCGGGGAGGAGCCGGTGCCCGCGTGGCCTGGCACGCTCTCCGCACCCCACCTTGTCTCTTTGTTAGTTTGCGAGGCATTTGGTGTGACTTTAATCCTACTAAACTACCGTCGTGTTGTGTTTTTTGTTGTGGTTGAAATCACGAGCTTTTTTTTTAAAAAAATGTTTAATTTAATTGTTATTTGAAACTCTCTTCTCATGCTTAGTATTATTTCTCGGGGGAGGCGGGAGACGAGAATTTTACGTGTTAGGATCTGAAGACTTTGCGAGATGTTCACTTTTTATGTCCAGGAGCCTCATGTTCTGAAGCAATAAAAGGGCTTGTTTGCTTAGAAACTGCTACCTGCGTTTTCTCCCTGCCTCAGTCTCAGGCTGGGTCTCTGCTGGGATGGGAGACCCATGTCAGACCCACCCAGCTGCAGCAGAAGTCACGCTGGTGAGTCAGTAGGTGGCGCTCTTCCCTTTGACGCTGCACTGACCCAATTCCCTTCCGTGGCGCTGTGTAGGAGGGGAGTGCCAGCATGCAGGTGGTGGGCAAAACCAAAGGCCTCACTACTTCTGCTCTCTAAAGCTCCCACAACACGATAGTGCTCACGTCCTGCTCAAATTCCATCTCGGTAACATCAATCCCGCCTCCCTTAGCTCCCCCTGCAGCCTCAAGTGGATACCCTATTCGCCTTCGTTTCCTGCCCTAAACCGGCAAGCCATGTCGCTGGGCGCTGTTGAACAGCTGCCGTGTTCCGCCCCAGAGACGGCTGCATTGCAGTTTGGGATCTATCAGTGCCAAGGTAGTGACTCGGCAAGTCGGCTTTTTATAAGCCCAGTTTTGAACCCTGCCCTCTCTAACTTCCTCAAAAGGAGATGTTAACACCTGCTGCGACTACGTCCACCAGCTGGTCAGGGAATAGGGGCCATTGGGTCAGGTTGGGCTTGGAGCTTTTAATGCCCCGTGTCCTGGGATCCAGGGATGCTCTAGAATGGCCGTATTCCAACCACATGGTTTTAAATTCACACCTCTGCACACAGACAGGGACAAGGGGGGATAGATAGGAGAAGGGGTGACAGGCAAGGCCTTGTCTACACTCACCATTTGCTCCGGTTTCAACCATCGTGGCCAGGCCCGATGTAGACAGGTTGAGCCAGGATTTGCATTAGTTCTTCTTACCTGGTTTCACGCAGAGGCCATCTGTACCAGGTCAAAGCAAATAGTTTCTTAGACCAGTGGTTTTCAAACTGCGGGTCGCGACCCAGTACAGAATGTAAGGCACTGGGTCGCAGCGGCTCTGGCCGGCACCGCCGACCGAGACATTAGAAGTCCCATCAGCAGTGCTGCCTGGCTAAGGCAGGCTAGTCCCTACTTGTTGCTGCGCTCCGGAAGCGGCCAGCAGAGGGTCCAGCTCCTGGGCGAGGAGGCCACGGGGCTCCACGCATTGCCCCCACCCTGAGCACCAGCTCTGCACTCCCATTGGCCAGTTCCCAGCCAATCGGAGCTGGTGAGGCAGTGCCCGCAAGCAAGAGCCGTGCAGAGCCGCTTGCGCACCTCCACCTAGGAGCTGGACCTGCCTTAGCACCTCTGCTGCGCTGCTGACTGGAAGCCCCAACCCCCCTACCCCAGCCCTGAGCCCCCCCCCAAACCTGGAGCCCCTTCCTGCACCCCAAACCCCTCATCCCCGGCCCGACCCCACAGCCTGCACCCCCAGCCCAGAGCCCTGACCCCATCCTGGATGCCAACCCCCAGCCTGAAGCCCCCTCCCACACCCCAACCCCAGCCCAGAGCTCCCCCCCACCTTGAACCCCTCATTCCTGGCCCCACCCCGCAGCCCTCACCCCCACACTCCATCCCTCTGCCCCAGCCCTGAGGCCCTCCCACACCCCTCATCTCCAGCTCCATTAGGTCACGGGCATCAAGAATTTTCTTCATCTGGGTCGCCAGAAAAAAAGTTTGAAACCCACTGACTTAGGTACGTCTATATGGTGATTAAACACCCGTGGCTGGCCCATGTCAGCTGACCCGAGCCAGCCGTGGGTAATTGCCATGTAGACGTACCCTGAGTGAAGGTTGACCTGGGGCGTTTGCACTGGTGGAGTTGCACCCCTGGCTGGCCCACCCATGGTCAGAAATCCCCAGTGTAGACAAGGCCTAGGAAGAGGAAAGCTGCTCGAGGCTGGGGAATCTCTCCCAGGAGAGATGGAAGCCCCATGCTTTGGGGCATCGAAGACTAGATTTGACATGGTGCTGGTAACTGCGCAGTCAGAAGCCACCGGGCGCTGGGGCTGGGAGCTAGCTGACCGAATGGATCTTTCCCATCTCTGCTGGCTGATGTAAAGCCTGACTCTGCAGCCCTTAGTCACAAGAGATCCTTCTGCAAGGAGTCCCACTGATCACACCTGGATCGACCTTTACCTCCACCTAATCCCAGACAAAAGCGATCTGTTAATAGAGGGTTTTATCAAGCATTTGGGACCCTAGAGCACAGAAGGTGTGGTGGAAACATCAGACTTTCTTCTCCGCGATCTCCTCCCTGGTCAGCTCTGCCTGGGTTATTTACTCACTGTACTCGGAGCCAGCGGTAGCCGGGAGGCCCAGTCGCCATTAAATGCCCTAATCTCGCACTCATGTACGCAGGGCTGACTTGAAGAGCCCCTTTGGAGTCAGAGCAATTTCCCACGAGACCAGGGTACTGGCAGGGCCTTGGCCTGAGTCGCCTTCCTGTGGAGTGCGGAGAGGAGGTCCCTGGGGCACCCCCATCTATTTCTTGCCAGACTGTGGGCCATGTAAACAGGGGAACTTCAGCCCTTCCTAGCTTCAGTTTGGAGGTGCTGAAGGATCCCAGCGTGGAGGGTTCCACATCCCTTAGAGATCTGGCGTACAGGCCGGGGAGCCCCCCCCCCAGAGAGGGGCCTTCGCTTGCTTCTTGGAATAGGTCAAGATGGCCTTGACTTGGCCTGAGTTGAGCAGGGCCCACATCTCAGAACATGATGGCTGGAAAGCACCCAACCCAAGTCAGTGAAGAAAGTCCTAGGGGGTCACTGGAGCACAGGGATCTATGGGGGTGCTGGGTAGGGATAGGCCAGTGGGAGGGTCAGCCCAAGGTTCACATTACCCAGGGACGGTTGGGTGTGAACGTGTGATAGGCCCCAGTGCTGGATTCTCCCCAGGCTGCTCCCCCATAGCCAAAGGCTCCACAGCCTACTGGAGACAAGGACATCCTGACCCCCAACCCCCCCCACCCCAAGGAGCTGGAAACAGCCTCATTCATCCCCAGGCCAAGCACCTCAGGCTCACCCGGCCAGGCCGCCCAGGGACAAGCCCCGGGAGGAGGAGCCGCGCTTAGCTGCTCTCCAGAGCGGTCAGGGCACAGACGGACCCAGCTTTGCAACGGCTCTGCCCGCCCCAGGCTCTGCCGCTCTTCCTTTAACCCGGATGGGGCTGCTCTGCCGAAAGGAGCCGCTCAAGCAAATGCTTCTGGGGGCCAGCATCATGCAAGCGAGGGGTTTCCACCCAGCCCATGGGGTAGGCCACTGCCTCAGTTTCCCCCTCACTGCCTGGGCAGTTGAACCCTCTGACTAAACCAAACCAACCTCCACCCCTTCCAATTGGAGGGGAGTCCACATCTCCCCTCTCAACAGGGTCAAGCCAACACTCTGGGGGCAGGTCTCCCACCACCCTCTGTCAGCAGCTCCTGCCCTGGGCCCCGAAGAAAGAGAAGCAAGTGCCTGGCCCAGTTCTCCAAGTCACATCTCCCCCTCAGGCCCCTGGCCCCATTTGTTACCAGGGTTCACCCTCTCTAGTGTCCCCTCCACTAGTTCCAGATTAGAAACAAACTTGGGTCCAGGCTTTTCGTCTCCATCCTCCCATTCCTCATGCAGCTCCTCCACCAACCAGGAGGGAAACAGGAGACTGAGAACAGCTCCCAACAAGCCATGTCTCCTCCCCAGTCCATCTCTGATGAGGGCAAAAGGAGCTCTTTTATATATGACCCCTTTTCCCAGCATGCATTGCTGTCTAATACAACTCCCATCAGTCCTGGGAACTACCAGCCCCAGAATGCCTTGGTTCTGGGCTGAGCTGGGAGCTGGGCCTTAAACAGCCACCCTGTGCTACAGAGCCAAGGGCATTTTCTCAGGAGGTGAGTAGAGGTGTCCCACCTTCCTGGCAAAATTCCAATGTGTAAAATTCCATGTGGCCTCCCTAAAATTCTCCCTTCAGTTCAGTATTCTTCACCACTTCCTGTCCGAAACCACTGTGTTGTGTTGCTGCGTGGCTGGTAAATAGCTGCCCCGTTCCTCCCCAGAGGTGGCTGCATTTCATAGGGCCCACTGTGGTCATCTAACCTGACCTCCTGTATAAAACAGGCCGGAGAACTTCCCCCAAATAATCCCTAGAGCAGATCGTTTAGCAAGGAGGTCAGACTAGATGATCATAATGGTCCCTTCTGACCTTAGTATCTATGAATCTAAAACAGCCAGTGTTGTGGGGTACCAAGTCCAACAGCCGTCTAAGTATATTATGGCAACACTATTACCTTTATCAACCAAACTTGGATCAAAAAGACATATCCAGTTAGTCTGAGGGGCTCTATTTACCATAACCCCCTGCTGATTGGCATTAATGACATTACCCTCCTTTCATTCTTTGTTAATGGAGTCCTGTTTCAGCCGCTCCATTATCTATTTCAGTGGTGAGTGAAGTGATCAGTGCTAAAAAGCTGCAAAAAAACCCTCGATCTTTCAAGGCCACCTCTGCTCATTTTTGGGGTGCTCTCTTGGTGTCTGTGCCCCAGATTGGGAACTGACTTCTCCCCTCGAGAGGAAGAACCCTTCTTTATCATGGCTGCGTGAAGGCTGAGTATGGACAGAGACCGCCCACACACAGCACTCAGCACAATGCGCTCCAGGCATTTAGGGACCATCCCACTCCTGGAAGGCAGGTCAGGGCACTTATCCCCATTGTACTGTTGGGGAAACTGAGGCACAGACCGGGGCCAGGACTTGCCCAGCTCCACAGAGGGAGACCACGTCAGAGCTGGGATTGGAACTCAGGACAGCCTGCTTCACATGCCTAGGCCTGGACTAGCCCTGTGCCAGAGCCAGGACTTGATGCTAGATATAGTCTGAATCCCAAAATAAAACAATGGCTTAACCTTCTTCTGTCGCCATTTGCAGGGAAGGGTGTCTGCAGAGATCCTTGGGCAGGGCACCAACTGTCCTTGCTATCCCTGGGGTTATGAGTTCTGGCAATTAACATTCCCCATCCCGCATTCCCGCAGCTCTCGAGGCCAAGCTGGGGTTCCCCCTCCACATTACTGCCTCCCACGGCCCCCTTCCTCAAGAGCAGAGACAGCCAATGGCTTCTTCAATAAATTAAGTTTTATTTGGATTAGTATAATTTGCAAATGGGTTCAATAAATTACAGAACAGTTTAAAAAAAAAAAACAGTCGTACAGCATCCAATGAGAGGGGACCTCAGCGCCCAAAGGGGCTGTGGAGCCGATCCTGATGGGGATGGCTCAGCCAGCAAGATACCCCATGCCACTTTTAAGGTCTCAAGCATCCCCCTCCTCTGAATAAAGGGCATGCTCCTGGCCCCTGTGGCATTAGGGCTATGCCTTCTCCCCTGGCCCCTGCTGCGTCCTGTTTGCCTGGCCTCACCGATGTGGCAGAACTTCCAAACCCAGCAGAGGACAATGGAAGAACCCACGAGAGGCACAAAAGCGTGAGTGAGCAACGTCTGTGTAGCTAGTGCTCAATAGCAGGGGGTTGGCCGGTGACCCTTCACCACCCCGATTAGATGGCTCATTGAATTCATGAGCTTGACCCTACCAGCTGCGCTTTGGGATGTTCTGGTCATTATGGACAGAAAGTGATTGGTTCCTCCCAGCAGAGGAGGTGCCTGAAGTCAGCAGAGACCTTTGCGAAGATCTGCAGGGGACCTTAATGACTTTGCTTCTTCCACATTAACGACCCTTTTACTTTCCCCATACGCAGGCACCTCCCCGGCGATGAGGTTCATTATGGGTAGGTTCCTCTCTGAGATACATTCTGCGGGGAGGGAATCCCATAGCTCCTTCACCCCTAGTGCCGGCGGAACGCACAGCAACAGCACGTAACTGGAGAGTGGCTGAATACCTCTTCTTGGTCTGCCGCTCCTGCACCCGAGGCAGGGACGTGCCCTGCTGCCGAACCCACAACTGGCATTACTCCCCCCCCCGGTGCTAGGAACCCCTGCGGTGGGCATCGGTGCCAATGGCCACAGGCCATGCGTGATGCTCAGGAGTTTGTCGGGCAATGGAAGGTAGATTTGTGGGGGTGTCCATGTGGACAGGCTCCGGCTGTAACCACAAATGGAACTGATCCGGCACCCGCCATCTCTGTGAAGAGCACACACAAACACACAGACACACCCCCTAGCTCACGCAGCTATTCTAACCTCAGCAGGGCCACACCAGACCAATCCTCTGCCAACACCTGCCTGAAGCCAGAGGCTTTGTGACAAGACCTGGGCAGTCTCTAGCGTCTCCTCTGACCCATTTCCTCCCTCCGCAGGCGTCTGCTCTGTGACAACGGGTGCCGACTACAGCATGGGCTGGGATGCCCAGCATGGGCACCAAGTCCTACAGTATTTCAGTGGGGGTTGGGCACCTCACTGCATGAGGCATCTTTGGAACTCCCAGCTGCAGTGGCTGGGCGTGCTGCGACTGTGAGTTCTGGGCCTGCAATAGACATTCAGGGATCGGTCCCTTTTGAGCTCTGGTTAGACCCCAACCCTGCGCCTCCCTCAGCAGCTCTTAGGCCTTCCCAAGCTCCTAGATGTTCAATCTTGTTAATATTGCCCATGGTCCGCTTCCGGAACAGTCTGCAGCTGGCAAGACCACGCGGCTCCCTCTGCCCTCACCCAACGAACGAGGGGCACGAGTCACGTCTCTCTCTACAGGCGTCTTTGAAAACCAGAGGCCCGAGCCCGGCAGCACAGAAGCCGTCTGGGCGTTAACGTCAATGTCTGAGGTGTCTGCGCTTTGCAGCCATTCCTCTTTAGATCGTCCCAGGTCAACAGGGCTGGGCCCGGTCAGAGACCTTCAAGAGACATCCCGGTGGTGCAGGTGCGTGGGCTGGGGGAGTCCTTCTGGTGGAGTCAGGGCCAAACCATGCCTCAGCCTGGTGGCTGGGCGAGATGCTGTGCTGCGGGGCTGGGGGGGTCAGTCAACGCCCTGACACAGTGTCCGAGGCAAGGGGCTCCCCGTGACCCTGCATGCTAGTGAGCAGTGCTGGCAGCTGGAGCTGTCGTCGTCCAGGGAAGAGGCAAAACCATGCATGGACCATGGCCCTTATCTCTGCCAGAAAGTCACCAATCCTGGGGTCCTTGCCCACCTCGAGCGTGACATCATCCCACCTCCCTCAAATGCCCCCGCGGCTCCACTTCCACGCCGCATTCGTCTCCACGTCCAGGAGCAGTGACAACAGGGGGACGGTGTCTGAGTGGCGGGCGCCGGGGTGCCTCTGTGCGCAGTCTGTGAAATGCTTTGCGATCCGGTGGGATGAGCGGTCCTAAACAAACATATTGGCCTGGTTTCCTTTCTGCACCTGGGGAGCACGGTCCAGCTGTCCCTGCTGGCTCTCTGGGGTCCTTGCGGCAGCAGAGTCCGGGACAGTGGATCCAGGCACTGCTAGCAACAGTCTGCAGAAGCCCTGGGCAGCCCCCCGCCATGCCTGTGTCGTTCTGCTCCTCGCTCACCCAACGAGCTACATGCCGACACAGGGTTGGCCGGCCTGCCCAGCCCCACCATAAAGTGCTTTCTTCCCTCCTTCCACCGCTGGGCAATGTCTCGACTGAAATTCAACACTGAGCAATAAAAGAAACGATGAGCGTTGGCCACAGCCGAAAGAAAGTGCCTCGTGGCCTCAAACCTGCCCTCTACTGGATGGAGAAGGAGTCGCAAGGATCCAGCTAATGCGTGTTCGTTTGGCTTGATGGAGAAAGCAGTCCAGTGCCATGGGGCGCTGGCTGCCCGCTGCAGTATTTTCAATCACAGTGTTACGTCCTAGGAGTCAGTGGGGAAGAGCATCGCCTCGGATAGTTTTTCAAAATGGCCGCCCCCTCCAGTCTGGGGCTAAGCGCGAGGGTGCTAGGGCCTTCCACTAGTGGGCCCCAAGGAGCCAGGCCTGGGGGTCCCCAAAAACAGTCGGCTGGGTTCAGAAGGGGCTACACATGGTGCCCATCCACATCTCCCCATGGTGAGGCGGAGTTGGTGCTGAACTTACACCAGGTTTCCAGCCGGAGCGGACAGAGGAGCCCTGCTACCTCTCAGGATGGGGGTCAAGGTGAATAGACGACGTGGGGGAGAGAAGCTGGCTGTTTCTGACCAGGGACTGTCCGATCACAGCTTTCCACTACACCCACCTGCATCCCCAGGACTACGCAGGGCTGTTACACCCCTTCCTTGGTTCCTTAAGGGCTCATGGGAAGCTGGAGAAACGCTCTCTCTGCTTTGTCCCTGACTGCATCTGACCCAAGAGATGGCTAGCGTCGGCCTCCAGCCAAACAGGGCCACGAAACGCCCTCCCACGCCTGCCCCACCCGTGGCTAACGGCTCAGTGGCACACTAGGGAAGGCTCCCCGCTTCTCAGCAGAAGGATTAACTGCCCTCCACGCCCCCACTTCCCTGGGCTGCTGGCCGTTGGGGTACCCCCCGTCCCTAGGTATAGCGACCTACGTACAGACATTTAAAAGGAGGCAAAGCCCGGCCTGGTCCGGAGACCACTGCACACCTAGGGGACCCTGGCATCCCAGGAGCTTAAAAAGGAGACCACTCTTCCACTGCAATCTAAGCACCCCAGGAGAACCGCGGTGGCAGCAAAAGGTGATGTTTCTTAGACAGAGGCCAGTGCACATTGTGGGGGTACGGGGGGGGGCAGCTCCCCCCGTAACTGATCCACCGGACAGCTGTTCTACCGGAGGTGAGTGCCTGGCCAGCCGCACTGGTCCCCGCTCCGCGGGAAGCTGCTTGGTACTTGCTAAGCCAACCTCATGGCTGGGCGAGGTCGACCTCCCTAGGGATGTGTGGGGTGAGGGGCAGTTCGCTGCGGCGGGTGCATCATTTGTCCTCTTGGGTGGTGCTAGAAGCAATGGTGGGCTGCAGGCGTGGCTCAGCTGGGTGTCTGTTTCAGTGCTTCCCTCCAGCCTGGGAGAATCGGGGCCTTCCTGGAGGCCTGGGGGGGGTCTACCCGGCGCTGCGGACAGAGAGAGGAACCTTGGAGACTACTAGCTAGGGAAGGGGGCGGAGGGGGGGAGATATTTGATGTCGCACACAATGGCACACGAAGGAGTTGGCAATGTTTGTTTGGCGCGGTCCGTTCCCGGTCATTAGAACAGGTTTGTCTTGAGGGCGTTGGGCTTCCTGTGGAAGGAGGAGAGGACGCCGGAGAAAGGTCCTGGCATGGCCTCGGCCGGCTGCCACGCCTTCAGGAGCTCCGCCGTGTTGGTGGCACCGTTGCTGGTGCTGACCCCTGGCCAGATGGGAGCCTTTAAGGACTGGGCGGCGTGGCTGGGTCCGAGGCCCTGCCCCGTGCCGGGGCTGGGGCTCAGGCTGCTCCCGGGGCTGTTGAGGCTGCCCGTGGTGGGCAGCGAAGCGGTGCTGTCCGGGGTGGGGCTGCAGTTGGACTCCTTGGACTCGTCGTCTTCCGAAGAGGAGCGCGGGTCAGATTTCTTGTTGGCCGAGGAGCCGCCATTCACCCCCTTGGCGTTTGCCGCCCGTTCTTGCTTGCGGAACTTGGCGCGTCGGTTCTGGAACCAAACCTGGATGGGGTGAGGGGTGGGATGGTGACCGGAAGTGGGAGGGTGGGGAGAGAAAAACCAAGTCAAGCAAGGAAAGAGGGATCCACCCACAACCTAGTCGGCTGTCTCTTGAACGATGGAATCACAGTAAGGCTTAATAATGATTTCACTTGCACCTCTCTGGCACCTTCCATCTGAGGATCTCCATCCAACTGCCTATACAAATCCCCGCTTCTTGATCAGATTTCCCAAAGACAGCAGGGCCCGGATCCTCAAAGGTATTTAAGCACCTAACTCCCATTAACATCACTTGGAGTTAGGTGCCCAAATACTGCAGTATATTGAAAACTGTATTAAAATTGTAAGCTGGTATTTTAAATGCTCAGGAAGTTTTCCTGATCCTGCTTGCAGGCTAGGGGGCTCTGCAGGGAAGTGTTCAAGCAGGCCTAGCTAGCAGCAATCCATCCAGAATAAGGTGGGGTGAGTTGCACCTCTGCCTCAGTGAGCAGCCTGCTTTCTCTCTCTCTTTCTCTTTGGTTCTTGTGTGTTATCCTTGTGAATTCTAATCCATAAAGCAGTGTTACGTTGCAACCTTCCAGCCAAGGATTTAGGTTTTTCTCTAACTGCTCTGTGTGCGTGCCGTGAACATAACAAATGCCTTTCAGGATCTGGGGGCTAGGTTAACGGAGGTGCTCAGTGCATCTCAGGAAGGGACCGGCCACTTTTGGTCTCGAAAGCACCATGTGACACAATAGGGATAGATGGTCATTGATGGTGCTGATGGGCATTTCATTCAATGCTGTCTTCTCTGGGGTGGGCTATGCATTGCGGGTTGAGTTTAAAGGAGGGGTTTGAGTGGAGATTGGGTGGTTGTTGGCTACACCAGGTGATTTTAGTCACTGTAAAATTCTAGTCCTTTTTCTTTAGTGTTGGAAATTTACCAGCCGTTCATTTCATGGACAGGCTGTTGTTTCTTTTATTATTATTATTGGCAGTGTTGCCAACTCTCACGATGTTCACAGAATCACAGAAATGTCAGACAGGAAGGGACCTGGCGAGGTCATCAAGTCCAGCCCCCTGCGCCAAGTAAATCTAGACCACTGGTTCTCAACCTGCAGCCCAGTCAGCCCACAGCTGCGGCCATGTGACATCCTCAGGGCCATATAGGTAGTATATATATTGTGGGCCCACGTAACTCAGAGCGAGCTGCATATGTGGCCCACAATGGCACGTAGATTGAGAACCACTGGTCTAGACTATCCCTGACAGGGGTTTGCCCAACCTGGTCTTACAAACCTCCAATGACGGGGATTCCACAACCTCCCTTGGAAGCCTGTTCCAGAGATAAGAACCGTTAGAGCCAGACAGGTCCTCCTATTAGCTAACCTAAATCTCCCTGGCTGCAGGTTAAGCTGGTTGCGTCTGATTGTACAGTCAGTGGGCATAAAGAACAATTGACCATCGTCTTTTTCATAACAGCCGGTAACGTATTTTCTCCTGGGAGGGGAAATGACTTGTCCCAGTCTCACAATTGCTGTTGTTTTTTCTTAAAGCTCCAGTTCCTGGAGTCAAGAGATTGTGAATCTCAACTTTCTTTTTAATAAATAAATAAATAAATAAATAAAGGCTTGGAAAGCTCCAAGGCAAATAAGATCCCAATTTAAAAAAAAAATCTAATGATTTGGGGGCCTGAGGTCTGATTTGTGAACATTTGTATTGCAATAGTGCCAGGAGACACCCCCCGCCCCCCAGCATGAGCCAGGTGCTGGGTGCACCGATAACAAACGGACGGTCTCTGGCCCGAAAAGCGTATGCTCTGTGCACTCTTGTGGCACAGGGGGCTGGTGAGTTTTCGCTGTGCCCGCCCACGCACTGACGGATTGTACTGGAATGTAGTTATTGGCCCTTTCAGCATGAGCACCGGATTCTCCATGGAATTTCCTGGATTTTCGCCAGCGTTGCTGAGAGCAGAACTGGGCTCCGAGAAATGATTGTTACGGTTACATCAACGAAAAGGCCTTTCCTTCCCCTGCCTTTATTCTTATGTATTAGTACGTTCCAGTAGCACCTGGAGGGCTCAGCCGAGGTCAGGCTCCCTTGTGTACAGCCCCACGCTGAGTCCGTGTTCTGAAGCACCTAGTTCCACTCGCTCTCACCCTGTGTAAATCAGGAGTAACCCTGAGTGTGAGGGGAGAATCAAGCCCTTTGTCTCATGTCTCTGTCCCTGCCTATCTCTCTTCCCAAAGCCCATTTTGATGCCCACCACTGAAAAACAAAATCTCAATTTACTAGCATCTGCTCCTACTTCCTATATTTCGCAGTGGCTTTTTTCCGTGGCTGGGCTTAGCTGCCTCTGTGTGGCTGTGGCTCCCTCTCGTGGTCGACCCAGGGGCAGATAAGAGATCGACCCAGGGGCTGCCACACACAACCAGCGGCCCCTCCAGATCAAGTGCAAAGGCTGGTGCTAAAGGCCCTGGGTCTGAGCGCTGCAGCCCACCTGGCCGTAGTTTGTGACACAGGGATGTTTGCACAGAGACAGAAGCTTTGCTTCCTCAGCCGTTTGTCAGCTCCTGCTGCTTACACTGCAGCCGCCGGGCTCGGTAACGGTGCAGCCATCTCACAGCGGAGTTACGAGCTCGCACGCAGCCTGCGATGGCTTTGGGTAGGGACTAGAGAGGGCTGTGGCTGAGCCAGCCCCCAGCTCTGGAGCCAGACTGGTTTGGGCCGAGTGAGAAGAGCCTGTTTTCTAAGAGGAGCTGGTGCTTGGTGCAGAGGTTCCCCGCCACACGAGGCGAAGCGGAGCCGCTAGTGAGCAGCCCAGTCAGAGCTCACGGGGCCCACAGCCGGCGTGGCCTTTTCTCGGCAGCTAACCCCCGGGGAAATGGGCTGGGTGGGGCTGAATGGCGCTAAGCCGGCATTGCTCCTCCAGGCGGATCAGCCGCATGGCATCTGCGGGTCTGCTGGCCCTAGGATGGGAGACGAGGGCAGGCAGTGATCGGCCAGGCCAGGCCAGGCCTGCTGCTGAGACCCACTGTGATGCCATTGTGCCAGGACAGCCACCAACGCTGGGTGTTTTACGAGAGGGAATTTGCAAGGGGGAGGGTTTAACCCCCCCACATACACACACACACCCGCCCTTCTGGTCCTAATTGGCATCACTCAGCGGAGAGAGCCAGGACAAGGACTGGATGGGCACAGGGACCTGCTGGGACTGTGTAACCAGATCCTGACGTCTAATTAAAGGTAACGCTAAATGAGGATCCTTAGGGAATAAGCATGAGAGTCAGGAGTCATGGGGTCTTTTCCCAGCTGACCCTGGCTATGTCCCTTGCCCGGCTACTGCCTCAGTTTCCCCATCTGTCCAACATGGATAATGGGCCTTGTCACCTGGGTAAAGGGCTTTGAGTTCAGTGGACGAGGAGTGCTAACCCTAGTCTGGGTGTCTGCTGGCTAGTACTTCGAGGGCACGTAGTGGGGGTGGCCCCTTTGGCACAAAGCCAGGGGCTGCTGCCCAGACACCAGGCCCCTGCACTGTTGGGCCAGCTCCTTTCCCCAGTGCTTTGTTCCCAGAAAACATAAAAGGCAGCTCCTTTGCCCCAGGAACGACCACTTCCAGAGACGAGCTCCAGATTATCCTGCCTGCCTGTCAGAAGCACCAAGCGAGACAGACCCAGTCCCCATGGTCCCTGCCTTCCAGCCGGTGACAAGCGGTTCTTTCAAGCCCTGCTCACCTATGAGGGAGGAGGCCACCTGCTGAATGGGTCTGAACAGGGCGGGGACCTGCTGTTGTATCAAAACGCAGAGCCCTCGTCTGCACCAGGCTCTGCCGAATGTCTGCTGCCCTGGGATGGCTCAGTACGGGATAATTCGTAAGTGGGCTGAGGTCACATTGGATTGATACCCCGAGTGTTCACGGGGCAGGAGCTGAGCCGTGACTTTGGGCTTGATTCAGGAAAGGCTCCGCCTTCAGAAATTCATAGCGTCTAAGGCCAGATGGGACCCCTGTGATCCTGTTGTCTGCTCCTGCATAGATCCCAGACCAGAGAACCAACCCAGGGATTCTGGCACCAGGCCCACAACTTCTGATGGAGCCAGAGCGTCGCTTTTAGACAAACAGCCAGTCTTGATTTAAAGACGTCAGGGGATGGCGAATCCATCACATCACAAGGCAAGTTGCTCTAACGGTTAATTACCCTCCCGGAAAAACGGTGCACCTATTGCATGTTGCTCAGGAAAGCACTTGCTTAAGGTTAAACGTGCTCTCCTAAACAGGGATATGCTCCTGAACTGGGGCCTTGACCTGCAGGCTACTAACTAGGGATGATTCTCTTCTGGAATCTGGGACCGGGTCTTCACATGTGCTTATGCAGCGCCCAGACCCAATGGGGCCCAGATCTGGCCAGCTATCTGGCAGAGCTAAACCCAGGCGTCCTGACCACCAGTCCCTGTGCTGCATAATGCTCCATCTAGTGACACATACAGCCTCAATCCGAGCAGCTGCTTAGTATTTATTCTCATATCCTTGTATTCAGCGTCATTATTTTGACGGGGTTACTGGCCTCCTGAATGGGGGCAAGCAATAGATGGAACAGAGCTTGATTTTAGCAAGGCTTTTGACACAGTCCCATGTGGCAGTCTGGTGAGCAAAGTAGGGAAATGTGGTTTAGATGGAATTATTCGGTGGGTGCACACATGGTTAAAAACCATATCCAAGGCGTAGTTATCAATGGTTTCCTGTCAAACTGGGAGGACGTATCTACTAGGGGGTCTGTCCTGGGTCAGGGGCTATTCAATATTTTCATTAATGACTTGGATAATGGAGTGGAGAGGATGCTTATGAGATCTGTGGATGACACCAAGCTGGGAGGGGTTGTAAGCGCTTTGGAGGACCGGGTTAGAATTCAAACTGACCTCAACACATTGATCTGCAAGCAACCAGATGAAATTCTATAAAGACAAGTGCAAAGTACTACACTTAGGAAGGAAAAATCAAATGCACGACTGCAAAATGGGAAATGACTCGCTAGACAGTACTAGTGCAGAAAAAGAGCGGAGGGTTTTTGGAGATCACAAACTGAATATGAGCCAACGATGTGATGCAGGTACAAAAAGGCGGATACCATTTTGGGGCGTGTTAACAGAAGTGTCGTACGTAAGACACATGTCCACTGAAGGTCAGACAAGAAATAATGGACTTTAATCTTCAACCAGGGAGATTTAGGTCAGATATTAGGAATAACTTTGTAACTCTTGAGAGGAGTGAAGCTCTGCAATAGGCTTCCACGGGAGGTTGTGGAATCCCCGTCACTGGAGGTTGGTAAGACCAGGCTGGACAAACCCCGTTCGGGCCGGTCTAGGTTTACTTGGCCCTGCCTCAGCAGAGGGGGATAGATTAGATGATTTCTCAGGATTCCTTCCAACCTGACACATCTGTGGTTCTATGATTATAAACCCACCTTGGGAGGTAGGGAAATATTATCATTTTACAGGTGGGGAACTGGGGCACAGAGACCCCTCAGTTGAGGAAAGCAATGCGGCAGGTGCTTAACTTCAAGTAGATTTTAAGTCCCAACAAAGTGAATAGGACAGAGGTACTGGCTTAAAATTAAGAAGCTGCTTAAGAGCTTTGTTGAATAGGGGCCCGAAACAAGGGAAGGGTGAAACAATGGTTAGCACAGGCAACTGAGCGCTAGGCCTCCTCGATTCTATTCCTGGCATTGCCACTAACTCACTGTGTGAGCCGGACAAGTCACAGTCTTGCTCCTTGCCTCGGTTTCCCCATTTGCGCAATGGGGTGATGACACTGTCCTACCTCCCAGGGATGGTGTGAAGCTTGACTCCCTAATGTCTGTAAGGCACTTTGAGATCCTTGCATGGAAGGTGCTAGATAAAAGGGTTAGTGCATTTCAGGGAAGAGCTGTGTAATGAATATCAAGCCACATCGTGTCTAACTGGGCTGGGCTGGGCTTACCTGGACCCTGGCTTCAGTGAGGTCGATCTTCAGGGCCAGCTCCTCCCGGGTGTAGATGTCTGGATAGTGAGTCTCAGCAAAGACCCTCTCCAGCTCCTTCAGCTGGGAGCTGGTGAACGTGGTCCTGATCCTTCTCTGCTTTCTCTTCTCATTGATGCCGGAGGGGTCCGAGAAGAACTTGTAGGGAACTGAAGGGGAGAGAGGGGAAGACAGTGGGGGGGGGGGGAGCTTTACTTAGCAGAAAAACATTAGCGGGTCTGAGAGCAAAGAGTGCAGTTAAAGGGGGAATATGTCTAGAGCTATCTCTAGGTTATAGCTATGGGACAGGAATAGCAAGTCACAACGGTATTTACAAAGGACTGTATCCAACTCCCACTGGCTTGGGTTCCTAACTCACTTAGGCTATTATGACACACCCAGCCTTGCTCATTGTTACCGTATCAATAGTGCATTAGCTAACAACTCTTACATTGTTGACTATTGTTTAATTATTATGCATTTGGCTATTAATCTAATTCATATTGTCTATGATGCTGTGCTTTCTATTTTAATAATATTGCAGTTAGGGGTTTCTGTTCAAGTGTTACTGTTGGACTAACAAGTATTTTACTGTCGACTGTTGTTTGATTATCGCGCAGATAAGTACTATTTGGATTTGATCAGTGATTGCTTTGCTAACTATTGGTTTATAAATAGTAAATATGCGATTAATGGTTACCTCGCTACGATTTTTATGGTGGATCCATTTTTAATTTGTTAATTACTTTAAGACCTAAATATTCCATTATTATTCTTGTTTGATTGCTCTCTAGGAGCGTATGGAACAGTTATTTGGTTTATTCTTCGTTCATTAATAGTCTATTGTATGTTTGCCTTTCCAAAGATTTCTCTGTCGCTACACCATCTGATGCTGCATAACTATCCCAGAGGCTTTCTCTGTATGGGAAACATACTCCCGTGATAGTTTGGATCATGACTGCAGCATTTGCATAAGGGAAGACAAATGTCTTTGCTTTGTCGCCCTTGGGAAAGACTCAGAAGGAGCCGTCGGCGTTCAATTCGCCTGCGTCTCTCGGAAATACTCCGAAAGCCCCGCACCAGACTGAGACAGGGGCGAATGGTTTAAATGTCAAAATAGTCTGGTTGAGTGTCCGCCTCGCGAAAGCGACATCAGTGACAGCTGCGACCTGTGTCCACCTTGTGGGAACCCGGGGAGCGTGCCCCGGGACCGGCCCTGCCAAGTCACTGCTAGTCACGGGGCAAAAGACGGAGCACAGAGAAATACAATGAAATAGGGGGGGGGAAAGGTGGGAAACTAATTACAATCACCAGCAACTTGGCCCAGAGAGAGAAAAAATGTTTAATACAAGTTCGCTTACTAGGCAAATAGCTTGTTAAATAAAGAGATGATTAGGTAGATAGATAGATAGATAGATAGATATAGATATAGATGAGGTGTATGGGAATAGATTAGGTGTATGGGGATAGATAGATAGATAGATAGATAGATAGATAGATAGATAGATAGATAGATAGATTAGATAGATATAGATGAGGTGTATGGGAATAGATTAGGTGTATGGGGATAGATAGATAGATAGATAGATAGATAGATAGATAGATTAGATAGATATAGATGAGGTGTATGGGAATAGATTAGGTGTATGGGGATAGATAGATAGATAGATAGATAGATAGATTAGATAGATGAGGTGTATGGGGATGAATAGATTCGATTCGATTCGATTGTATGGGGAGAGAGATTCATCTATATTTATAACGATAAATATCTTTGTTTCTACTGATAAAATATATACGTAGCTATATCTAAATATAGGTCACAGTACAGCTGGATATTTACATGTTACTCTTGCTATCGATGTAGATACATCCATATAATGTACGTGTCTCCCTATATCTCTAAGTCTGCACAGCCAGCTCGCTTCGAACCCCGGGCGGATTCTGTGACCATGTGTATTAGGAATTGTACCTAAAACGAGGGTCGGATCTATTTCTACAGGAGGGCGCCGAGGGGTGGGTTTGTCTCTCGGACGGACGTAGCATGAGAAAATCGGGTGGCGAGAGACCCTGCCGCTGTCAGGAGATTTCAATACTTTTGTGAATTACTAACACGGTCCGATCAGTGACAAACTGTCAGGAAACTGAGAGAAAGAGTTGTAAGGCGTGGACTGGAACAGCGTTGGCTTTGCAGTGAGCGCCGGTTTGTTACAGCTGGTCTCAGGCGGGTGCGATCCCTTCCCCAAACCAAACCCAACCCCTCAAGTCTCAAAATTAATAATTTCATAAAAAAAATTTCTAGAAGCCATTTCTGCAAATATTAAATTAGATTTCTTGATCTAATCCTCCAGTTGCTGTAACCTGATCACCCATTAATTTGTTTGGCTGTGAACACAGGGATACGGCTCCTTAACTCGATTAGTCGCCAAATCTTATATCTTTATAACTGCATTTTGCAAAATTGGTTTATACCTTTTTGTTTAAAAAAAACACAAACAAAAAACCGGGGGTGGGGTGGGGGGGAAGAGCCAACCCGATATAAAGAGATCTCGCGGCAGATTGCTGCGCAAAAAGCCCTCAGACCCTCGCCACACTTCTATCGGCTCAAATTTGCCTCGCATCTCAAGATCCTCCGGGTCCCCTGTAGACCCTTCTCTGGCTTGCTAGCACCTGGACATCTCGAGAACTTCCACTGCACCGTGTCCAGCTCCAGTCACACCCTGTCCCTCTCTGGCTTCAGTGTCACCGGGCTCGGGTCTTTACCTGTGGAGTAAGGCGAAGGCTGGTGGTCCCTCAGGGCCCCCAGGGTGCAGTTGGCCGTGCTGAGCGGCGGGCACCCAGGGTTGGTCCCAAAGCTGGTCCGGATGGGGCTGTACTGGAAAGCGTTCGGCTGGCTGCAGGAGCTGAAGTCGGCGTAGGCGGAGGCTTCCATCGCGGCCATGCAGGAGTCGTAGGAGTTGAGGTAGGAGTAATCCATTTTGTACATAGAGGAGGGCACAGGTGGATGGCCGGGGAGCTCGGAGGAGGGAGAGAAGCGAGGGAGGGGTTGGTCTCTGGAGTCCGAGCCGGGGCTCCAGCCTCAGCGCCCCGGGCTCCGGCTGCCACTCGAGCCGCTGCACCCCTCTTCCCAGCGCTTGGTCCTCCTGGCTCGGAAAGTTTCCCCTCGGCCTTTCCTGGATGCCTTGAGACGGTGCCTCTCCGCGCACCCCCGGCTGCCTGCCCCCCTTGGCTCGGAGCTCGCTCCTGCCGACTCGCCGCCCTGTGATATACTTGGCTGGGCCGGGGAGACAATGGGCAAGGCGTCGGTTGCTTTTGCATGACAATATCTCCGGAGTCTATCGGGGGCAGTAGGAACGGGGGGAAGCGCCTCCCACCCCGGTGCATCATTGATTCAGCCCTTAACCCTTTGTGGGGGGGGGGGAGGCGGGAGAGGGGGAGGTGTCCTGCTGCTGGAGCCCAGAAACCCCAGCTTGAGTTGGGACGTCTCCGGCCCAAGCAGCAGATCGGACTTTTACAAAAACCCCTCCCCACCCCGCAGCCCCCACCCCACTGCGCCCTGGCTGCGGGGATGGACCCAGCGAAAGGACCTGGCTAAGCGAGCCGGGCCAGCGGTGTGGGGCTCGGGCCGCAGGAGCCCGGGTTTTTAGAGCCACAGAGCCGCTCGGACTGGGGTTTCCATGGCTCGCCCAGGGCACAGGTCTTGGGGGACAGGCGGAAGGATCAGGGAGAGCCCCGACTTGCCCAGATCCCTCTGAGAGCTGAGCCAAGGGCTCACACGGGGGCTTTCAAATGCCACAGAGGGGTCACCCCCGCACCCGTCGGGTTTAACACAATCTACAGCCCGTTATTTCCTGCCCACGCCCCGGAGATAGCACCCGCGGGTCTCCCCTTGCGGGTACCAAAGGCCAGTCCCGGGGGTCTCTCTCCCCTCTTGGACCCAACCGCTGCCCCGAACCCGGGTCCAACCCATGAAAACCCAGGAGCGACGTGGCGGGGTTGGAGAGTGTGAGGGAGAGAGAGAGTGAGGCCCCCGCGGATCGCCCCCCTCCAGCCGCACCCAGGCCTGGGACAAGCCTGTTATCCCCCCCACCCACCCCACGCAGAGAGCTCAAGGCCCGATCCTCCCAGGGCAATGGGAGATTTCGGACGGGAGGACCTCGGGCATTCAGGATCGGGGCCTTCCGCTGGAAGCCCTCCTCCCCCGGCCAGCTCGAAGTTAACCCGCTCTCTGCTGCTCCAGCCGGGTGGGGAGCCCCGGAGCCCCCTCCCGCCTCTCTGCTGGGCGAAGCCATCCGCGGGGCCCCTCGCACCCCAGGCAGTATTAGGAGCAAAATGCACCTGTCCCAGGTGCGATCCCTGGGGTGGGAGCTCCTGCCGGGCGCGGCGGGGAAAGATGCTGGCTAGCGCTTTAGTCCTTTCCTTTCCTTTCCTTTCCTTTCCTTTCTTCTTGTCTTTCCTTTCCTTCCTTCCTTCCTTCTTTTCTTTTCTTTTCTTTTCTTTTCTTTTCTTTTCTTTTCTTTTCTTTTCTTTTCTAGCGCTTCCTTCCTTCCTTTCTTTTCTAGCGCTTCCTTCCTTCCTTTATAGCACTTTTCTTTCTTTCTTTCTTTCTTTCTTTCTTTCTTTCTTTCTTTCTTTCTTTCTCAGGCGTCTCTTCCCACCTGGCCCCTCGGCTCCCTCCCCGAATCCGAGATGTCTAGAAAAGGAGAGCCCCCACCCCTCACCCCATGTTTGGTTTATTTCCCTTCTCTGGCTTCCCAGCGCTTGGTTTCGTTTGTGCTGTTCCCGATATTCAGACTCTTTCCCCCCAATCCCGCCCCCTCAAGACTCCTGATTATTGCGGGGGGGGGAAGCGGGGGCCCTTATGCTTGTGTTTTATTCCCTGGATCGAACCGAGCGGGTCTGACTCGGGAGACACCGGAGCTGTTCCCGCCGGGCGGAGATCAGGGGCTAAACGGGGCAGGGAAATTGCGATGAAAACAAAATCTGGCCAGCCCAGTAGCCGAGGGAGCGGGTTTGGGGGCGGACCCGTCCTAGACACGTTCCCCCAACGAACCCCTGCCCCGGGGGCGGCAAATCTACCAGCCGGCCTGGCAGGGAGCGTCCCCCCCTCCCCACCCGCGCTGGGAGAGACCCTCGCGCTTTCCTTTGGGGGAGTGAAAGCGAGAAGTGGGGCTGTCGGGGGAGCCCCGAGGGGCTGTTGTACAAACTCGGGCGGGCGGGCTGGGCAGGGGGGGACCCGTCCTGGCCGGGGGTTAGAGTTTGGGCACTGGACCAGCGGAGTACGGGGGGGAGCGGACTCAGGGGGGTTCGGATCTCGCTGCAGACACACGGGCCTGGAGCGGGGGCGCAGTTCGGATCCCGGCGGCAGGAAAGGGCCTTTGGGGCTTGGGTGGGGGCCCTGGGGTGCGCTGGGAACTGGACTAGAGGCTGTTTACATGGAGCATTGGAGGAGGGGGATAGATCCGTGGGGGAGGGGTCTGGCTGGCTGATATCGAGGTGGGGGGGTATCTTTGGTTATTCCGGGGGTAGCGCGGGGGTGGGTATTTTGCCCCTGCGGCCATGAGCCGGTTCCTGTGGCCATGAATCCCTTTCAGAGACAAATCTCTCCCGTCACTCAGTCTTCCCGCTACGCAGCCCTGCCCTGCCCTGCCAAACAGCCCTGCCCCAGTGCGAGCAGCCCCCTCTTCCCCATCAGTGGGGCTGTTTGGTTACCATGAGCGGCTTCCCGGTCTCCATTTACACCCCCCTATCGAAGGGAGAGGGGACCACGTGCGGGTGGGGGGAGGGAGGGGGGTCCACCTCCCGGGGGGGGCGGGCGGGGGCGACTCCAGGCCTGGGCCCGGACGGGGTGGGGGGTGAAGGCCCGGGGAGCTGAAGGAAGGCCCCCCCCCCCACCCCCAGTGCAGAGGGCGGAGGCGGTGCCTTGCCCTCTTGTCAGTTTCAGCAGCCCCCGTCTCCCCGCGGGTCCCATGTCACGCGTGGCGGTGGCGCCGGGCGGGGCGAGGGGCGATCGGGGGCCCGGCGCAGCAGAAGGCCGAGGACCCCCGCCCCGCAGCCCCTCGCCCCGGCTGCGGTGCCCCGTGCGCCCTGCGGGAGGCGGGGTCGGGCTGGCTCCAGCGCCAGGGAACGAGCCGAGCTGGAACGAGAGGAGACGGGGCCAGGAGTCGGCACCTGACCTGGGACCAAGGCGAAGCCGGCTGGCGGCTCTGCTGCAGGAGAGGACTTTACAGATACTGCAAAGCCACCCCCTGCACCCAGCCCGGCCACTGGGCACCCACTGCACCCAGCCCGGCCACCCCATGCACCCGGCACCCAGCCCGGCCACCCCCTGCACCCAGCCCGGCCACTGGGCACCCACTGCACCCAGCCTGGCCACCCGCGCCCCCTGCACCCAGCCCAGCCACTGGGCACCCACTGCACCCAGCCTGGCCACCCGCGCCCCCTGCACCCAGCCCGGCCACTGGGCACCCACTGCACCCAGCCTGGCCACCCGCGCCCCCGGCACCCAGCCCGGCCACTGGGCACCCACTGCACCCAGCCTGGCCACCCGCGCCCCCTGCACCCAGCCCGGCCACTGGGCACCCACTGCACCCAGCCTGGCCACCCCATGCACCCGGCACCCAGCCGGTCATTGGGCACCCCCTGCACCCAGCCTGGCCACCGCACATCCACTGCAACCAATCTGGCCACCCTGCACCGAGCCTGGCCATTAGGCATCCACTGTACCCATCCTGGCCACCCCATGCGCCCTGCAACCAATCTGGCCACCCCACAACCCTGCACCCAGCACTGCCACTCTGCACCCACTGCACCCTGCCTGGCCACCCCACACCCACTGCAACCAACCTGGCCACCCCGCACCCCCTGCACCCAGCCCGGCCATTGGGCACCCACTGCACCCAGCCTGGCCACCCCATGTCCACTGCATCCAGCCTGGCCACCCCATGCCCACTGCAACCAACTTGGCCACCCTGTGCCCATTGCACCCAGCCTGGGAACCCCATGCCCATTGCACCCAGCATGGCCACCCCATGCCCATTGAACCAGAATGACCACCCTGTGCCCACTGCAACCAATCTGGCCGCCCTGCGCCCTCTGCACCCAGAGATGCCACCCCATGCCCATCACACCCAGCATGGCCACCCTCTGCCCATTGCACCCAGCCTGACCGCCCCACGCCCATTGCACCCAGCATGGCCACCCCACCCCTGTGCCCATCTGGCAGACCCAGTACGGCCACCACCCCCTTCAAACGACTCATTGTGCCCACTGCGCCCAGCCCACAATGCCATCAGACCGAACCACCAGATGTGCACATCTCTGACCCAGGATTATGGACACTCCATCACCATAACAATCACCCCCCCTCCCTCGCTCAGTCAGCTGCTGCATCACTGACCTCAGCTCTCTGGGGGCCAGCTCAGCTGCAGAGAGGAGGTAGCAAACATGAGTTTAGTGTCCTGTCAAGAGCACTTTGGGCAGATCCGGAGCTTCCATGCTCCCTGTCTTGTGAACCAGGGGCCAGTCAATGACGTTAAAGGGTGGCAAATTCAAAGTCATAAAAGGAAATGTTTTTTAATGCATAGCACAGTTAGACTGTGGAACTCATGGCCACATGAGGTTGTTGAGGCCAAGAACTCAGCAAGATCCAAAAACGTGCTGGACATTTCTATGGGTAACAAGAACATCCAGAGTTATAAGAAGAGACAACAGAAACTGTGAAAGGGAGATTAAACCTCAGACTTCAGGATTTAAGCCAATCTTTCACTGTTAAGGTATGTCTACACTGAGGTCCCAAGTCAGCCACCACGGGCCAGTCGTGGGGGTTTCATTGCAGTGTAGACGTGCCCTTAGAGGCGAGGATGAAACCAGATTATGCCCCAGATGCTACTGCCAGGTTCTCCTTCCTTCCTCAGAGGTGGCTGATGCTGACTGCTGTCAGACACAGAGCCCCGGGCTAGCTGGAGCTCCTGGCTGAGCCAGCCTGGCAGGGCCCACGTTCCCTCAAATTGTTAGAAATAAAGAAAATGACGAGGACCTGACGCATCCACCCTTTGACAAAGCCGGCCTGGGTTCTCTTTTGGGAACGTAGGCAGTACAGATCGGATCAGAGGCGGTGTCAAGCTAAGCCAGTATCTGCTCCCCATTGGCTAGTCCCAGCTGCTTCGGAGGTTGGGACAAGAAGCCCTGCACTAAACAGCTATGGGCTGACCATGGGGGAAATTTCTCTGTCATCCCTGTCAGTCAGGCACAGGCCCACAGCCTGGAGCAGATTGCTGAGGGGGTCAGGCAGTG